CTGCTTGACACCTGAAACAACAAGCCACACGGCTTAATTCGGGATCATACATACAAGACGCCGGATGCAGATAGTGCGCACATAAACGCTGCACCAAACATTTAAACAGTCATTCAAAAGAGCTGAGCGTCTGGCTCAGTCCTGTAATGATGGAGGAACGAGCCAGTAGTTACCGTGGTGTTATAGGTTGTGGGTGAAGACAGTTCACGACATTCGCCCAACAACATGGAAGCTGCAAATATGACCACTGTTGTCACCATGGCAACCAGCAGACTCTCTAGAACTCTGGAAGAGTGCATTGATCAGATCAACTTCTGTAATTACAAACCCATATCTTAACAGCGTACCTGGTGTTAAAGACATCTCTGACAGAAGTGGGAACAAGCACCTGACAAACTTGGCCTTGGGGTGGATGTGTCTGATGCGATACTTGGCCAGGCTCCTGTTCATGCAGTTGAAGAGCGCCCCCAGCAGGCCCCCGACCACCCCCATCAGGACAAAGAAGGCCAGGTCCACTGCTGTCCACAGATGGCAGTTCTTATCTCCATCTTGACACTGATGGGCAAAGTTCAACTGAGACATTACTCTGCTGATACATCAAGCAGACAATACGACTACTACTGGTACTACAACTACTAATAATAATAATACAACCATGTGACTAAGGTTGGCACTCAGATGAAAGTCACAGTATTCATGTTAAATCATTTTTAACTCATCACTGGGTCCCGCAGCTGTGAGGAGACTCCGGTGTTTGGTCCCAGGTGCTGGGAACAGGAGGTTAATAAAGAGAAACAGAGGCTGCAGGAAGGAGCGTGTTGTGGACAAGGTGAGAGGAGGGCTTGTGAACTGACTCCAATGTGGGACAGAAGCCAGGGGTGGCATTTTAGAACAGGGATGACTGAGTATGTGAGCATGTTGTGGTGACCAGAGTCTGAGCAGAGCTGGAGGCGACTGGCAATTTTGAGGAGAGATGTTTCTGTGCTGTGTGGAACCCAGAGTAAAATCTTTGGAAATGAGGCAGGCTTCACTTGAACAAAAATACAACACATAACATACACTTAGAGACTGGTTCAGTGGTGAGACCCTTCACCTTGAACTCTCCAAAGTTGAGCAGACCAGGTAGCTGGAAGGAGCCCCACTTGTTGAAGTTGATCCCTGAACGGAAGAAGTTGAGGGTGAAAGTGGACGACATGGAACAGAAGAGCTGCAACAGAAGATGGAACAGCAGAGAGGGAGACGGTTTCTTCTAGACTCACTACAGAGTCAGCAGACGGAACAGAACTGTCTCAGATGTCTTTCTGTTCACTGGATAAGGTGTCATACCACTTTCCAAGTGAGGGCCTGGTTCCAAAAAGAGGAGCCCTCCTCCAGACTGAAGAGGGTGCCACCTATAGGAGCTCCAAACGCAGCAGCTACTCCAGCGGCAGCAGCACCCGCTGACACAAAGTCTCGCTTGTCTCTGAGAACAGTAAACACACCACCATGAGCCATGGGCTTAAAAATATCTGCATCATACTGAACTTGCAGGGAAGCAGTGTGCGCCGCAGCCTTACCTGTCACTGCGGAAATAAGGGAAATCAAATTTGATCCTCTTGAAAGTGATGCTCTGAAACTGATACAAGGAGAACACGGTGGTAAGAGTCGACTGTCTCAGGAACCGACCATTTAACAGACATCAAACCTCTTCTGGGAAATTCATATTAAATTCTGTCAAATCAAATCAAATGATGCCAAGTCAGGCTTAGTCAATCTGAGTCGAGCTGTTTCACGTCAAGACGAGCCGAGTAAAGTGAAGTTATTTTATCAAATCTAATTTTATAGAAAAACACCCAATCAAAACACCAAATATTGTTCACAGAACCTCTTAATAATTTTATTGGTCAATAAAAATGATTGGTTATTATCTTTGAAAACATCTTAACCTTATTTTGAGACCTAAAACCTCTGCACAGCCGTACTGCACAGTATATGTAATCAGACATATGATCCCTAAAATCTGTCACTTCAGTCTTACTCGCTACAGAACATAAAATTAAAGTCAGTCTCTGCGTAAGCTGTGTGCTCAGCTCCATCCCCATCACTGTCGTGTACCTGAGGAAGGCCAGCTCCCACAATCGCTCCGCTGTGTATCATCGGACCTTCTTTCCCCACAAACAGACCTGAGTAGAAACACACCGAGTCACCGAGCCTGACTCAACACCAGTCAGGGACGTTAATGATGCCTCTGCCTGGTTTGTCACTGAACCTTAATGTTCAACATCAAATCATGAAAAAAGACTCTTTATGCTTGTGTGACAGCTGACATGGTGACCCATTCACATGCTGCTACTTCGTTTCCAGTGGTTACTGCTTTACAGCTTTTCTCCTACGCTCACAAAAGAATTTTTTGTATTTGCTTAATGTCATCACTAATATCATTTGTGTAGATGACTATAAATATCTTCTACACATTGAACTCTCTGGTTCATTGCAAAAACATCACAAGCCAGAAAGGCTGGAAGTGCTCCTGTTTGTTTATCATTACCGTAATATTTATAACATGGCACCTGGTAAATGTAGTGGAGTGACAAGTACAACATTTCCCAATGAAGTGTACTAAAGTAAAAGTACAAAATATACTAAATACTAAAAAAAGTTTTTAAAAAATAAATATATAAATAAAACTGAACACAAGTAGCTGAGCAAATGTTCTTAGTTACTTTCCACCACTGCTTTTGTTTAACAGGATAAAAGCTATGTAAACCAAAACTAAACAGGTTTCCACTATCTACACTGTTTAGCTCTAATCAGATTGCAGAGGAAAATGAGTATACATTTATCATGTTAGAAATATTATTCAATTATTATTATTAAATATCATTTTTTACCATTTGCCAGGTCAAAATTCAACCTTTTCGTTCATTTTCCAAGAAATGCTTCATATTTAGTGTGAGTTTGGGTAAAAATGCCAGCTGTCAGCCGCTTCAGTACAAACATTTTTATTTTACGATGGTCTCGTCAGACTTTACCTCCAGACACACTGAACAGGACTCCAGCAGCCTTGCAGAGAAAAGTACGCAGACGCACAATCCCAGGAATCTTCACTCCATTCAAGTAACTTTTAATTTCTGGGATCCCTGAACCTGCAGCTACCGGCTGGATAACAGGACACCAGCACACAGCATGTTAGCATCCTACAGGTTAGTGTTGTCTCTAGTGTCACAAACAGTTTCCTTAAAATATAAACAAAACAACACCACAGTCTATGGATATCTAGGTTGAAATGGCCCAAACCGCGGCAGCTACCCCAGCGGCAGCACCCGCTGACACAAAGTCTCGCTTGTCTCTGAGAACAGTAAACACACCACCATGAGCCATGGGCTTAAAAATATCTGCATCATACTGAACTTGCAGGGAAGCAGTGTGCGCCGCAGCCTTACCTGTCACTGCGGAAATAAGGGAAATCAAATTTGATCCTCTTGAAAGTGATGCTCTGAAACTGATACAAGGAGAACACGGTGGTAAGAGTCGACTGTCTCAGGAACCGACCATTTAACAGACATCAAACCTCTTCTGGGAAATTCATATTAAATTCTGTCAAATCAAATCAAATGATGCCAAGTCAGGCTTAGTCAATCTGAGTCGAGCTGTTTCACGTCAAGACGAGCCGAGTAAAGTGAAGTTATTTTATCAAATCTAATTTTATAGAAAAACACCCAATCAAAACACCAAATATTGTTCACAGAACCTCTTAATAATTTTATTGGTCAATAAAAATGATTGGTTATTATCTTTGAAAACATCTTAACCTTATTTTGAGACCTAAAACCTCTGCACAGCCGTACTGCACAGTATATGTAATCAGACATATGATCCCTAAAATCTGTCACTTCAGTCTTACTCGCTACAGAACATAAAATTAAAGTCAGTCTCTGCGTAAGCTGTGTGCTCAGCTCCATCCCCATCACTGTCGTGTACCTGAGGAAGGCCAGCTCCCACAATCGCTCCGCTGTGTATCATCGGACCTTCTTTCCCCACAAACAGACCTGAGTAGAAACACACCGAGTCACCGAGCCTGACTCAACACCAGTCAGGGACGTTAATGATGCCTCTGCCTGGTTTGTCACTGAACCTTAATGTTCAACATCAAATCATGAAAAAAGACTCTTTATGCTTGTGTGACAGCTGACATGGTGACCCATTCACATGCTGCTACTTCGTTTCCAGTGGTTACTGCTTTACAGCTTTTCTCCTACGCTCACAAAAGAATTTTTTGTATTTGCTTAATGTCATCACTAATATCATTTGTGTAGATGACTATAAATATCTTCTACACATTGAACTCTCTGGTTCATTGCAAAAACATCACAAGCCAGAAAGGCTGGAAGTGCTCCTGTTTGTTTATCATTACCGTAATATTTATAACATGGCACCTGGTAAATGTAGTGGAGTGACAAGTACAACATTTCCCAATGAAGTGTACTAAAGTAAAAGTACAAAATATACTAAATACTAAAAAAAGTTTTTAAAAAATAAATATATAAATAAAACTGAACACAAGTAGCTGAGCAAATGTTCTTAGTTACTTTCCACCACTGCTTTTGTTTAACAGGATAAAAGCTATGTAAACCAAAACTAAACAGGTTTCCACTATCTACACTGTTTAGCTCTAATCAGATTGCAGAGGAAAATGAGTATACATTTATCATGTTAGAAATATTATTCAATTATTATTATTAAATATCATTTTTTACCATTTGCCAGGTCAAAATTCAACCTTTTCGTTCATTTTCCAAGAAATGCTTCATATTTAGTGTGAGTTTGGGTAAAAATGCCAGCTGTCAGCCGCTTCAGTACAAACATTTTTATTTTACGATGGTCTCGTCAGACTTTACCTCCAGACACACTGAACAGGACTCCAGCAGCCTTGCAGAGAAAAGTACGCAGACGCACAATCCCAGGAATCTTCACTCCATTCAAGTAACTTTTAATTTCTGGGATCCCTGAACCTGCAGCTACCGGCTGGATAACAGGACACCAGCACACAGCATGTTAGCATCCTACAGGTTAGTGTTGTCTCTAGTGTCACAAACAGTTTCCTTAAAATATAAACAAAACAACACCACAGTCTATGGATATCTAGGTTGAAATGGGGCCCGAAACCTAAACTGGGACTGTATCTGAAGAGTCTTACCTCAATGAGGACGAGCACACTGGCGATGAACACGAAGGTCATGTTAAATGCCAGGAGCTCCAGCAGAGACAGAGACAGACAGCCTTTGTTGCTGCACTTCTCTACAGCTGGAGGCGTTCAGTTAAGGTCTAGTAACCATCGACACTGAGGACAATCCTGTCTCTTTAAAAGTATTTACTCAAAATTCAACACGGCGTGATGACAACTTCACATCATCTATAGTAATGTTCAGTTTTTGGTCAAGCTTTCTGAGGGGTGTTAATTCTACTGTAGCGTTACGTTTAGAGACATCGTTCAAAGTAACGCTGTCCCACTGTAAACTACTGCCTCAATAACAAACATATAAATTCAAATCTCTCCGACACTGTTAATCAAATCTGAACATTAATATCTTTGTAGACCAGGTAGAAATTATTTATAAGTTCTACTGAATTAAATTAGACTTTGCAGGTGTATCTAACCTGTGGCCACTGAGTGTACAAGTTAAAAAAAGTAAGGACAATATAAGGATAATACACAGTATTATTGTCAGGGTAAATTTTTAAGAAACGATTTCAAGAATAACACTGAATTGGAGAAAAAGTTATAAAGTTGTGAGAATCAAGTTTGTATTTCACAAGAAAATGTTATAATATTTAGATCCTTTATTATTATGTAAATATTATTTAAAAAGATTCTTGTAAATGTATGTGTATTCTTCTTGGAATGTTCTATATTATTTTCTTATAAAATTGTTGTAGCTGTGTATTTGTAATATTATAACATTGTCTGAAGATCATACCATTTAAAACAATACGACCACACCCTACAGACGGCATAGTGAACACCCATTTTGATAAAAAACTGTGGACTGGTGAACTTTGATGTTCAAGGATACAATCACCAACCAGAGAAAATTTGATTGTGGTGAAGAGGCGTACAAAGGAATCCACAAACAGGCCCACCTGAAAGACATGAAGACACTCCCTGGTCAACAGCGACTGGATGGGCCCTAGTAAAGACAAACAACATATCCCAAGTGCACGTACCAGACCCACTGTGACTCCAATAGCGAACACCATCATCCACCGTACCGCTTCATACTTTTTGGCTTTCTGGTGGCAGATGAAAACATTTATAAAGACATATTGACGTAGTTTTCACTGCTGTAAGAAGTCACGTTAAAGTGGCTCTTTCATGATACCTATACAGACATTTTGACTCTTGGTTTTTGAGTTATGAGGAAACAAAATTACAGTCATTTATGTTTTTATAATACTTAGAGATTTATTTAGCTCAAGCCAGTTAAATATGGGATGTGGTTCCTTATCCAGAATAGCAGTAGAGTTACTGAAGTTACTGTAAGAATAAAGGAAACTGCTGTTGTTCAAAGCCAAATATTCAAAGCCAGTTTACTAACATTAAGCAAGATCAATTATGCTAAATAAGACGAAAAAGAGCCCCAAAATTGATCCCTGTGGGACACCAAGTCTTACACGCTTCTTTAGTGGGTGACAATTTCTACCCATGAAAACATCTAGAGAAGCACCACAGCAAAGTGTAGAGCGTACAAACTGTGAGAGGGTGAAGACAATAATCAAATCTGCATACCTACCACATCTGATCAATGAGTCAACAATAGACACTTTTAACTGGTCTTACCTTGTTGTCCATCCCCTCCAGAACCTCCACATAGGGCTCATTGATGCAGCGGTCATAATCCAAGCTCTGTCAAAGTCAAAACAAATGTTGTGGGGTCAGGCATCCACTGACTGTTATATGTACCAGAGGCAGCATGGAACCATCTTTCTCCTAATGGTGGTTTCTTACCTCATAGTCTTTCCTGGGTAGAATCTCATCTTCTTCATCTCGGATTTCCCCAAGAATTGTCTGGGTGGAAAACAAATTCTATGATTAGAGTACAATATAAACTTTAATGCATCAAGCATAGTAAGGACAGTTTATCAAAAATTAGGCTACATATTAAAAGCCTTCCAATTAATTTGCAACATGCAGAGGTTTGTACCACTTTGACTGTACATACAGTAGTTTAACCAGTAACAAACAGTGCATCTCCATTCTTGCATGGTTAGAAGAACACGCCACACTCCATTCAGAATTCTGTAAACTTAAAGTTGACTTATGTTGATTACATAAACATATAACAGAGAGTAAGTGCACTGAGCTTCAGGGCAGCATATGGTCTTCAGGTGACATCGGCACACCAATCTCCCATGAAACACTTGAATTTACAAAAACGAAATTGTCCTGGTGTAAAGGGGTTCACCAAAATCAAAGGTGTGGGTATAGAGAGTAAAACATGCGGCTAACGAGCGCGCCGAATTTAATAAAGGGGTTATGATAAGTCATAAACGTTTAAATGGTGTTAAGGACGATGGGAAGCTCTTTTAAATAAAAAGAGATTCCCTAAATTGTATGATTTGGAAACGGAGTTTGGTCCAGTGCCTTTCTCTCCATAAACATCAGCAATATCCCCCTGAGGCGACGTCACACTGCAAGGAGAATTGTTTTGTTTCAGCATATGGGTTATGTTTTGATGGGATCGGTTCATTGCACCTTGCCTGCAAAAGACAACGGAACGATCACTGAGCAGCAGGGTGGAGCAACTAAGGCACATTACATGGCACAACCCAAGAGCCAGGGGAAAATCGGTAGAAAAAAACTGATTATAAAATTAAAAGACGCCTTGCTTTTCAACATTATTTCTCCTCTCTTACCAGTTCTTCTGGTGTCCGTGTTTCTCCTTCTCTGCAGCAACATTGGCAACACAAACAGTTCCCACAACACGCCATCTTCGCTGTTGTGTCATGCTGCGTTTAAAGCCTTTGGCAAATTCGTCCAAGAGTCTAAAACTTTAAACCTCTGAAAGACCCTGAAAAGTGCACTAGTAAAGAGAACACTGGACAGCGGGTTCTACAGCAAATAAAAGTTACACACTATAGCTGTGTTCTAAACTCAATTTTAAAATGTGTTTATAACACGTTTAAACTGTTTTTCCTTTTCCCAAGACATGTGAATGTTACAGCGTCATGTGACGCCAAAGGCGGAAGATCCCCATGGAAAAATCGCTCCAAACTGTCAAAGCTGCGTCTAATTTGCGCACAAATACCCAAATACACGCAACCCACATACTTTAAATGTATGCGTCAATGGACGGTGAAATGTTAGGTTTGTTCGTGACTAACTCGAATAGAAGCTGTAGTACAGACAATTTGTAACAACCTTTTGTAACGATTTAATAAAATGTTATAAACCACTCTGTTCATCTTGTAGCCTACTCTGTCAGCACGAATTATTGTTTCACTTAGCCTATGTTATTCTGTATGACAGGGTAGTGTAATGCCACCTGTGTTTATGGTTAAACCTCCATTTTACTCAAATAGCCTACTTCCTTAACAGTAAACGTGAAGTGACCTAGAATTCTCATGCAAAGCAGATATCTATTTATAGTTGTTCTTTCTATTTTTGTCTCTATGAATGGGACTCTAAAGTTAAAATCATTAAGGCTCAGACTCCTCTTTGCAACCCTAAGTAAATTGGTTTGTATTGACCTTCTGTCTCTATGTTTGTTGTTGATAAATAAGCCATGACATTATCACTATTTCCCAAAGAAGTCATGCTATACTGGAAACGCGTTTACAAATAGGTTACAACTTTATTCTAAATTAATGTTTCTGTCTGGGAAAACAGGTTTATTCTAATGAACAATAAAAATCTATGCTTATCAGAACTTAGATGTATCTGGTCTTTCAGTCAGCTGGTAAATAGGGAGATATTTTAAGAACAGATGACATCTTTCATGAGTATGGGTCAATTTGGATCAAAAAGAAATATAATGCGTTAATTAAGACAGTGTTCAATTTACTGGGGAGGGAGTTTAATCCCCCCAAGAGAGAACTGAGCTCAGAAGCAATAAGAAATGGTGTTGGTGTTGGTGGAGCTGTAATCGTAAAATCGTAAGACATGCATCTAATCATCATAAAAGTAAGTGCATACAAACGATAATAAAACAACAAAAGTCTGACACCCCTACCTCTCTCCTCTTTTTCTGTACGTCTCCTCCCTGGGCACCGTTCACTTGTGGCAACTGGTCTTCGCAGTAGACTACCTGCAGTTTTCAAAGTATTTGAATAATGAGAAAACAGAGGCAACTTTCATGACCCAGTAAATCATCTAATACGTTACTCCCTTAAAGTGGGTCGTGCCATTTACACTCTCCAAGGCGAGCAACCTCATGTCAGCAGCGATACTATGTGCAGGCTGTGCAACGGTCTAACTAACTTCACCTACTGTCAGCAATGACTGTAAAGTGACTGAGCGGGACATGGGCAGTGGTTTTTTTAATCATGGATCATGGGCTGCTTTCATGTGTTATTTTGTATGCATATTAAAGTGTGTGGTGTCAGATCAGTGACAACTGGCTGGAGCGCACCCCCTCAGCTCAGCAGCCTGTCTCCCATAGACACTTTCCACACAGCAACGAAACACCCCCCAGAAAACATGGTGTAATTCGAACCCTGAATTAAGGCGTTTACTTCTTTTACTGATCAAATAATTGCTGTTATTCTGTTCCCTGGTTCCTATTATACAAGATATTCTCACAGGTAATTAACAGAGGATGTAAGTAGATCTTTTCCCACTGTTTCCCTGGTCTCATTAGAAAGCATCTGTGTAGTTGTACATAAGATATTATGTTATAAACTCAGTGAGTTTGAGTGAATCCTTATGATTTTTGCATTTTTAAAAGATAGGTAATTTGTTTTTAGAAGCTTTAAAATTCTACATTTGTGTAAAAAATAATTTGCCTACATGAAATTCAACCTTTTTGTCCTGCATAAAAAAAAGATTAGGCTATGTTAGGCTGCTTTATTGGAAACTTGCTTTTTTCTTACAGGAAATTAACGATTTTAACAATATCAGTGAGACAAATCCTGCAATGGACATTTTCTTCTACTGGGACCAGGGAAACACTCCACAGTGTCCACACCCGTAGATCCCAAGATTCGGGGATGAATCATGTAATTCATTCATTCATACCGCTTAATCCCTGAACGGGGTCCCCCGTGAATCATGTAATAATCGGCAATAATCCTGTCGATTGATTCTGCGCATGCCCAGATCATTATGAACGAGCTCGTGTAGTCAATGCTGCATTTAGGGCCAATTGCGAAAGCCGTCATTACGGCATTAAGTTGAAACAACTGTTCAGTTTCACTTTCCAGATAACAAACGTATTAATAATTAACATTTAACATTTGTTATGACCTCTCTTAGTTGACAGGGTTGTTTTAATTTCAACTAAATTTAACAAAATTACTAAAACAAGATAAACATTAAGCAAAGCTTACATTGTTAAACTCGAACGTATAATCGGAAAATGTTAACTGATAAACAGTCAGTAGAATTTAAGGTTCATTAATGATAAAACTATCTTTACAGCCACTTCCTGAATCCAAACGACGAATGAACCGTCTATTGCTCTCATTCGCTGTGTCGAGTATCGGTTTTCGTACATCTAAAAAGGCAGCACCTGCTCGTTGACGCCCTCCACACTATATCTTTGGATGCACCTCTGGTTTCCTTTCACATGTTCGAGCACCGCTCGTCTTGTATAGAATAAAGTTTGGGACACAGCGACACAAAGATAACCGGCTGGAAGAGGTGGGACAAGTATTTGTTTTCTAGCGCAAACATACATCATTCGTGTTTAGCTCCAAGCTAGTGCAGCTAACGTAGCATTCTTGACTAGCATCGCTCGTGCAGCCGTAGGAGAGGGAGCAGCCTTTGTAGAGGTTACTGCAACTACCATACTACTCCCGTACGTGTGCGCGTACATGTGCGGTATACCTTGGTTTAAAATGCTCGTGATTAATGATTCCTTCTTTCGTGATGTTTTATGGCGATCGCTAAACTCAGTTATACACTATTTTACATCTTTGCTGTAAAGAGACTAGGTAGGTGGTCCTGTGCACGAGGCAAGCAGCATTTTAAAGACGTACCTTTAATTTGAAATTCTCTTATTCTGTCAAGTGCTGGGAATTTATATTGAGAATAGTTTAACGTTTTAGCTCGTCAACAATACTGGATGGGATTTTGAATAGGGTTTGGTAAGACGTTTGTTCTCTTGCTGTCAAAGTGCAGCCCAAGTATCTTAGACAGATGTCTTGCCTTTTCTTCTCAGTGTAATTTGTCAGCATGGTGAACCAGCGAGGCGGATGTAGTCGGCAATCATGCAAGAGCGACTCCAGCGGGGCGAGCTGCAGCGGCGGGGAGAGCTCCAAGGAGAGCTCCCGGTGCTCCACGCCGGTGCTGGACGCAGACCGGTGTGACAGGCTGCGGGACAAGATGCGGAGGAGGATGGAGTCCGGGGACCGCTGGTTCTCGCTCGAGTTCTTTCCTCCCCGAACAGCCGGTGGAGCTGTCAACCTCATTTCAAGGCATGTGGAATCAAACTGGACATGAATGGAATATTTCATGCAGGCGCTTAGAATCAAAATGCACGTTGAAATGTTGGACACAAAAACCTGGTTAAACAACTTTGTGAAAAGTTGTAAGCCTGTTTAAAAAATAACGTGTTTGTGTTTGCACAAGTTCCACATTCTCTGTCATGCAGCCTAGTTGAACAAAGGTGGACCAGTAGCTTTAAGAGGCTTTCTGCAATGTATACATTCACACTTACAGCAATGTTTCATGGAGTTTGTGTTGCACCTGCATCTCCAGACCGAGTTTACATGGTATGTTACAGTGACCTAATTTACTGAAGTTCTATAAAAGAGAGGGAAAGTACAAAGATCAGTGTCATGGTTAATCAACATTGCATTATCACTAACTAGTCAACAACATTGTTATCAAACAACTGGGCCCTTTCTTTGTGCACATCTGATTGCTCTTCAGATTTGACCGCATGGGCTCCGGGGGGCCCCTGTACATCGACATTACCTGGCACCCCGCAGGGGACCCAGGCTCAGACAAGGAAACCTCATCCATGATGATTGCCAGCACAGCGGTCAACTACTGTGGCCTGGAGACCATCCTCCACCTGACCTGCTGCAACCAGACCAAACAGAAGATCACTGGCCATTTGGCCAAAGCAAAGCACCTGGGCCTCAAGAACATCATGGCACTCAGAGGAGGTAGGAGGTGGTGCTTGTCTACATGCCTAAATTCAGAATAAATCCTCAGTAAAGAGGGGAGCACCAGTAGGGTTGTCTGGAGCGTGTGGCATAGAAACCTGCTGCTTAAAGTCACATTACATACGGTAGTGTCTTTCTTGGTGTCTATAATGCAAAGGCATTCAGTCACAGTGGTGTAACACATCTGTAAAATGTTGATTAAGAGACAGTGACGGGCTTAACTCAGTGCTATTCAGTTTAGAACGCAGTATTAGATCTACTTTTAATGGGGAAATCCCAAAACTAGTTGCATCCCGTTGAGAAAATCATATAATAATAATAATACTAGAGTAAAGTTTTAAATTAGATTCAATATCAGAATGTTATGAGTAAAAAAACATAACATTTCAACTTTATTCTGCAGTGTCAGATATGCTCCCTCACAGCGGCCCTGACACCCATCAGACTCCATCATCTGCTGAAGCACTTGACGATTTCATGGGTTGAATCCTTTGGCTGCTGTTTGATTTGCTTTGATTTGATTTGCTTTGAGGTTTGAGTGTTAAACATTCAAACCACTGGCCTAATATTATACAGGTTCTCCTTGTGCCACCAAGTGTGGCTTGTGGAGTTCATGCACCTGTCAAGGGATGGAATTCACAGACCTCTGAAGGTGTCCTGTTATCTGGCACCAAGATGACAGTAACAGGTCCTTTGAGTCCTCTAAGTTGCAAGGTGGGGCTTCTATTAATCAGACTTGTCTTTCCAGAACATCCCACAGATGCTTGTTTGGATTGAGATCTGGTATTTCTGTCACGCAGGCTAGTCGGCTGTTGGCTTTTGTCTTTGTGATGTGTTCAAGTGTCGCTTTTTTAGCCCAACTGGTCCAGAAGTGAGGCAACACAGAGGTCGGCCTTCGTTGGTTCTAGTTCTTTCACTTCAGCTTGTCTCTGCCCTTAGCCTGATGATTCACTGGACACTGTTAGTGTCAGATATTGTGAAAAACTAGGAATGATTCCAGATCAGAGTGGGAGTACAATAAGAGATGCTCACACAACTTGGCTGCCAGCTGTGATATTCTGGTATCTCCACAGACCCAATGGGAGCAGACTGGGAGGAAGAGGAAGGAGGCTTCAACTACGCTGTCAACCTTGTTAAATATATCCGATCAGAGTTTGACGACTACTTTGACATCTGCGTTGCTGGTATGTTTTCAGATCAGTTGCAGACAGTTTAGGTGGAAGTAGTGATTTAAAGATGCTGGTGTGCTCAGGCTACCCCACGGGCCATCCCGAGGCTGAGAGCTATGAGGCCGACCTCAGACACCTGAAGGAGAAGGTGGACGCTGGAGCAGACTTTGTTATCACCCAGCTGTTCTTCAGGGCAGAGACTTTCCTCAAGTTTCTGGATGACTGCAGAGCAAATGGCATCGCGTGTCCCATCGTACCTGGAATTTTTCCAATTCAGGTAACTCTGTGTTTCTTCTAGGAACACGAATACTGTTTTCGTTGTCACGCAGGAATCACAGATTGATTGCTAGTGGGGTTGTACTGTGAAATCTTAGAGTAACAGGCACCTGGAAAAGCAGAACCGAGGATTAACCACAGCTGACTGCATGGCGTTTTTAATTTGTGATGAATCTCTTATCAGTGTTTTGTTGAGTACATTTCTCATAACGCCGACTTGTTTTGAGCTCTGTCATACACAGGTACTGTGAGGATCAGATTTGTCTGGACAAAGACTAGCAGCTCAGCTTTACTGATTAGGTGAAATAAAATATGGCGTTTTGTTGTTTCTGAGAATGCAGTGAACATTGTTAAGACAATGGAATTTCCTGGGGTGTCCCAGATTAGAGGTCTACCGAGAGATTTGCTGAATAGCTCACCTCAAGAATATCACTGTTTATGGTGATACGTTTCTGGTCGGTACCTGTCATGGAAAATTTAGCACAAACTGTCCTTGAAAAGGTACGCACTCCCAGATTCTGAGCACCATCTCAAGACAAAAACTTACTTTAGTGTGGGTGCATGTGTGTACTCAGAACAGGGTGCTTTTTATCTAATCCTCCCTGAAACTTGCCTGTGAGACCAATGTGTATATATGACTGAGCTCCTTTTCCTTTTGAGCCTCTGTAGCAGACCATTGCTCCTTTCTACAGAACTAAATAACACAAAAGACAGATGTGTCCTAAACCTCTTTATGTACTGTTTCCCATGTGTACAAGATACCTGAAAGTTTTACCCGAAAAACCAGAACCGAACTTTTGAATAGGAGAAAACGGTGCATGTCACAAAGTTATGGAAAAGGGTTTTGTTCGTAGATTGAAGATGGATCCTTATGTGCAGCCAGTGTGTCTGCCTGAACCCTTAAAGGAATGTGTTGTCGCTATCAGTAATCAAACGGCTAGCTGGACTTTACCCTGTTCCTCTCCAGGGATACCAGTCTCTGCGTCAGCTTGTCAAGCTGTCCAAGCTCGAGGTGCCAGAGGAGATCACCAAAGTCATTGAACCCATCAAAGACAATGATGCTGCGATCCGTAACTATGGAATCCAACAGGCAGTAGAGATGTGCCGTGCACTGCTGGACAGCGGCAAGGTGCCAGGCCTCCACTTCTACACTCTGAACCGAGAGGTTGCCACCGTGGAGGTGCTGCGACAGCTGGGCCTGTGGACGGAAGATCCCAGGTCAGTCGTCAAGAAGTAGTTGAATAGTTTTGGAGTTTTAACAAAGAAAGAAATAACTTGTGTAACATAGTTTCCCTCTGGCCTGTTTACATTTGCACATATGAAGAAACACTAGAAATGCTCCACAGTATTTCCTAGATGGAAGTATACATTTCTCTTTTTTATTCTATTTTAACAACATACAAAGTAAGGTTTTGCACATTTAGCATGTCACGCTGCACATGTATGTGGATGCAAAGTCAAATATACAATGATCAAATTGATTTTCAGTCCAAGAAACCGTTTTCAACTTTTATGCGGTGTATTAGCTAAAACACTTCACATGTGAGAAGTAAAGTTCAACAGCTAAACTGAGTCATTGTCCAGGGCCCTGTCTCATAAAGCAGGAGCAGTGGGTGAAGCTAAAGCTGAAGACATGGATTTATTTTAGACTTGTAAGCTATTCAGGATCCGTGATGTTCAACTTCTCAGAGCCTGAGCACTTTAAACATTGTGATTGGAAATAGTGCAGACATGTTTTACATTCCCCCTGACAGGCGGCCTCTTCCCTGGGCCGTGAGCGCCCATCCCAAACGGAAGGTGGAAGATGTTAGACCCATCTTCTGGGCTTCCAGACCCAAGAGCTACATTTACAGAACCCAGGACTGGGATGAGTTCCCCAATGGCAGATGGTAAGCTCACTTACACATAAGGCTGGGCAATGAAATGATCACAGTAATAATTACAGTAAAACCTCCTCAGTAATGATGATAAGCTGATGTAATCTTCGATAAATGTTCTGCATTTGAGCAACTCGCTGCACCATCAACCTATTAGCCCACAACACTGGAGTTTCACTGCTGATACATGTAAGCGATGACTACACAGGAGAGGTCACACAACATCGCTACTCTGGAAATGGATCTGATTTTTAACACTGGATAACAAACGCTGCTCATTACCCAACATTAGAAATCTCAAAAAGAAGCACAGACACAGCAAGTGCAGTTTCATATTTCACTCTTTGCCACCACTACTGACATGTAGCGTAGCTGCACAGCAGAGGCTTACATGAGCCTATTAGCATAAATCTTAAACCACGTTGGCTGTACAGTGTGAAGGTAATGACTGTTTAGAAGCATAACAAACATGATTTATCTCAGATTCAATCCAAAACTGAATATTCCTCTTGAAAGTCAGAAGGTATCCTCTGGTTTTCTTGTAAACATGACGTTCAGTAGTGCACAACGTAACACACAGTATATGTCCTTGTGATCTAATGAACGTGCTGCATGCATTTCCATCATTACTGGCATTATATGATCAGTATGATGATAATATTTTTGGCCATGTCGCCCGAACCTAATCCTTACTAATTCATTAGTGTTAAATGACTATCAGCAGCTTTACTTCATGAATTTGGATTCAGGTTTATATTGTTGAGTGAGATGTTGAAGCCCACTGCCAACTGACTGAACAGTGTGCTGTTGTTCAGGGGGAACTCCTCATCTCCAGCTTTTGGCGAGTTAAATGACTACTACCTGTTCTACTTGAAGAGCAAGTCGTCCAAAGATGCACTGCTGCAGATGTGGGGCAAGGAGCTGATGAATGAGGAGAGCGTCTATGAGGTGTTTACCTGTTACATCACAGGCCAGTCAAACCGCCACGGACACAAGGTAATCAGCAGGGAAGAGACTATGCTGTTTAAGGCGATGACTGAAAACGCTCATTGGCAAAAGTGTTCATCACAGGTGTTTATATGTGTGTGTTGTTCTCCTGTGTCCTTACAATGAGTCTGTGTAGCTGATGTGACTGCGACGACTTGTCAAACCACACAAGCCATCACTACAGATTTTTATAAGGCTGACATCAAGCCAAGTTTGGACACGTTCCCACTGAAATGAAAGAGAATGTGTGTCCAGACTTTTGACTGGTAGTGTAGACACAGTTATGGACATTACCTGTGCCATGGTTACCAAAATATGAAAGTGCTTCCTGTTGTGTAGCATTATCTGTCATTAAATACAAAACGTTACACCACGACGGCGGGCTCAGGCTTCCTCTTCCACTAGGTGACGTGTTTACCTTGGAACGATGATCATCTGGCCCCAGAAACCAATCTGCTGAAGGATGAGCTGGAGAAGGTAAACAGACGAGGAGTCCTCACCATCAATTCCCAGCCCAACATCAACGGCAAACCTTCCACCGACCCCGTAGTAGGATGGGGACCTGCCGGAGGCTACGTCTTCCAGAAGGTGGGAGCACTCCTGGCCCTGTGTGCCTTAGATTACAGAGAGCCTTTCTCTCATGTGTTGCCTTGATCTTCCAGGCCTATCTGGAGTTCTTCACCTCCAGTGAAAGTGTGACTGCTCTCCTCAAAGTCCTGAAGAAGTATGAGCCCCGTGTCAACTACCACATCGTTAATGTGCATGTAAGTTTGAACAGCTTGCATCAGTCACTCTGTGTTTCTGCGTGACTGTACATATTTAATATGTCACAATGGATGTTTTGTGTGCAGGGCCGTAACCTGACCAATGCCCCGGACATGCAGCCAAACGCTGTGACGTGGGGGATCTTCCCTGGCAGGGAGATTGTTCAGCCTACGGTAGTGGACCCGGTCAGCTTCATGTATTGGAAGGTAGGTCAGAGATGGTCCTGCTATCTTGACCCTTGTCCTGGTTTCTTGTTTTGGCATGAATAAACGCCCCAAAGTTGAAGGGGTGCAATAAACATTTTTAGTTTAGTGGTGATTGTTTTCTCCCCTACCCACTGAAGAAAGTGCACGTTTGTTTATTGTGTGCAACCACATTAATTTGGAAATGATGGGAAAATTGGGAAGTACCAACATAGAGGCATTAATAAACTTTGAGATGGAAAAAATAGTGCCATCATTTTATAACTTAGAATTCAACAATTGATTAATTGTTGTAAATTTGTATGGCTGCCATCTTGGCCAGGAGATGTTGATCTCAACGGGACTTCCTGGTGAAATAAAGGTTAAATAAGTAGATGGGGAAATAAAGTATTTAATTACATTTTAATAATATCACACTAAAATACTGCCTCTCAAAAATGATAGCCTCACTTAAATTTCAAATCAATGTGTCATATAATTAAAATGATACATAGAGGACAGTGTTTAAAGAGTGGTCAGTTTGAGCCACCACAGCAGAAACTGTCCAAAAGTCTTTTCTCCCCAAAACTGTCATGTTGCCTAAGCTTGTAATCCAGACTTACTGTCGTCGAGTGTTTCACAAACACTAGCTCCTGCCGCTCTGAACCGTCGGCTCAGATAGGGGTGATTTCCCCGTTTGGTCGGGTTCACGCTGATAAATACAGGTGCTGATGAAGATGTCAATCTCTGTAAGACCCACGAGGCAGAACTGGCACATCAGCGATAACGGGGACACACACAACAGAATCTTATCAGAAGCACATTGTATTTGTCAGCAGCCATTCCGAGGACCACTCTGCCTCCTCTGACAGGCCCGGTGCAGTTAGTATCCCATCACCAACCCTGTCCCCATGTTCTCCCCAGGATGAGGCCTTTGCCTTGTGGATCGAACAGTGGGCCAAACTCTATGAAGACGAGTCTCCCTCACGGATGATCATCAAGTATATTCACGACAACTACTTCCTGGTCAATCTGGTGGACAATGACTTTCCTCTGCGGAGCTGTCTGTGGCAGGTCCTCGATGATATGTTGGAGCTGCTCGACGCGCCTCCAGAGCCGCTCACAGCGATGGAACAGTCTGAATAAAATCAAAACACTCCTTTAGTGAAGGTCACAACACTCTGGGACTGTCGGTTTGTTATGCACTGTCTGCTCTAAAAGTTAGAGCAGGAAGTGTTCTTCTCACTTTTTAAAGACCTTTTATAAATGTTTTTTAGCATTAAATGAAGGGATTCCTCTGACCGCCATGATCAGTAGCTTCAGCCTGAGCAGCACTCCAAGCTAAGAAACTGCATCTGTGCTCAGACCTGACTGAAAAACAACTAATGGGAAACTAAATCCTGTGAAAAAGAATAGTGAACATTTAAGCTAAGATAATTTATAAAGTGTTCTTCAGGAATGTTTTATTTTCCTAGGATAAAATAAATGGGATATATTTGAATTTGATTTTTAAATCATTTTTAATTATGTGCACCATTATGAATGAAAACCTGGTATAGAGATGTTGTGTGTGAGTGAAACATTTTAATCTGATGATAGTAAGAGTTAAGCAGACTTTACTGTGTACAACAGACAACAGTTAACACTATCTACCAGCTGCCTTAACATGTTTTAAATGTCTTATTTATTTGTTGTGCCTGCTTTTCAAAGCTCATTAAATAATTGTACAGTACTGTGCAGCAAATAACCTGCACGTGTGTGTTACTGTTTGATGCAGAGGGGCACACAGTACTGCTGATGAATATAGAGCACTGCTGCGAGACATACAGGGACTTGATCATGCATTTAAAGTGAAGCACCAACACTACATAACCACAAGTACAAAGGTCAGGTCATACGACAGTACTACATGACCCTGCAGCCGCCAGGTGACATGCTGGGGATGTTCACAACCTGCAAATGAATGTATCCGTCCATGCAGAGAAACGCTGTGAGGTGATGGGGATGACACCGAGCACTACTCGCACCAGAAGCTTCCTCGAACTCAGGCGTCGACCAAATCAGAGACACCTACTCTGCACATCTCAGTTGGGAGGTGCTGAATCGTGGCAGTGTAACGTCACAACAGACCCCTAAGGAACATCTAAATAAACACTGTTACAGAGACAAAAACATTCATTTTAGTTGAAATGCAGCTTTTACTTTGGAAAAAAGCTGATTACCAGTAACCACTTCCCTTTGGGATTTGTTGTGGTTCTGCACAATGCGATAAGTTTTTGAGTTAATTTAATTTTTAATTTAAAAGCCACAGTTATTTCATTATTTCTTCTGTGTTCACATACCTGAGTCAGTACTGCACTTGGCTATGCCAGAACCTGTTACGCTCCCCAGTGTGTCTTCTTTTTGTACTTTGACTGGATCGTTTTCTGTTTTAGCAGTATGTCAACCATTATTGTTACTACAGAAATGTTTATAAATTAAAGCTTGTCATAAAAACAGCTCTGGGAGGCTGCACTTGGGCACGATGATCAGCATGCCAGCATGCTGAAAAGGACAATGCTAACATGCTAATGCTAAACAGGTATAATGTTTACCAAGGCTGCCATCTTGAGTGTTAGCGTTAGCTAAGTGAAGCAATCACTAAAGTTATTGCAATTCATCCTGAGGGTAGCATGAAGGGACACACACACATACACCAAATATGACAGTCTAGCTGACATTTCTGTGCAAACTTGTCATTTTGAATAAGAAATATGGCGCCCTTGTGACCTCAGGTCAATGTGCTGGTGGTGCTAGAAGAAAACCCTTTATCCTGTGGGACCCATGACTGCCTGTCCTTCCAGTAGGTACACTTCAAATCACATGACTCCAGGAATGAACAGAAAAGTGTATGTATGGGAATGGCTTTTTAGCTAAAACCCTCCACGGCCTCATAGCCTTGTACTCTGTGAAATCACTGTAGAAGGTCATTCACAGAGCAGCTCCCTGAGCATTACTCTACTCTTGAGCAATATTTCATCAGCCAGACTTGTTCAACATTCACATATTGACATCCAATACTTGAACAGTGTGGGGCCTAAATGGCACCACTAAGAGTGTTTTAGACTTACAGAAAGGTGTGAGATCAGCAGCACCATAAATACTGACTGACTAGGAATGCGCAGACCGGAGCCTCATTATACCGCAACTGTTTCAGGCCCGGCTGTGGCCTCTGACCCAGATGTAGCTTTTCCAGGAGGACTCTGTGAACCAGGCGCCCAGCACAGCCGCTGTCTCTCTGTGCCTCTCCCTGCATGTTGTACTACAGTGAGTATTATGCAACCCAGTTTGCAGGTCATGTGGTTCATCAAGCCAGCGTGTCAGGTTATCATGTAGCTCACTATCACATGTAGGACGCACTGTACTTGTGATAGTATCAGAAAATATACCAGCTTCTATGAAAGACTCAGTGCCTTAAAATATGAACTATAAATCAGACCTGCAAATAAATTCATCTGTGATAAATAGTTAGAAATGTTTAATGTGTTTAATTTAAACCAATGAATGCCTGTGCGTGTTAGTCATGATTATCTATCTCCAAACATATTAAATTATATACAAGGTAACTTAAAGTCTACAATCACACTAGCAGTTCTGTTGTTACTGTTGAAGGATGAAAAGTCAAAGGATCACCAGAGTTATTAAAGTTCATCCTGATGGGAACATGAATGTCATGACAATCCCTCCACTGGGCCTGTGTCCCAGCTCATGCAGCAAGCATCACTAAAAACACCGACAGCGGCTCCTTCTCATTCAGCATGAGCAGGTGCAGTTCCAGGAACCTGAAACTGAAGCAGCTGCTCCTGTCCCTTTTCCTCACTGTCACATGTCAAAATGGTGGTGTTGTCTTGGTTTATACTGCTGATATAATAAAACTGTGAACAATTAATAAATAAACTGCAAGTATTTTATGTGTAATTCAAATATAAAAGTGATACAAGGCAGTTTGAAGATAAACCTAGTAGATGATCACTGGTGTGAACATGGCCTGATGCAGAGCCAGAGATACAGTAATGTTACAGTGACCCAGGAGGGGGTGTTACACATGTATTTTGACCTAGAAACTAACTTTGAGTGATGCATTGTTGTAAAACTGTTGATTTGTTCAACCTCTCTGTTTGTACTAGACGTGTCTGCAGGAGAAAGATTGTGGATCTTGCCAGGTGCTCTCCTCCAGCTGCAGTTGTGGAGGCCAGAGAGTAATAAAGTGCCCCGCCTGTCAAACTGAGGTGTCAAATGAGTGATTTATGGCCTTTGATTGATAATGCCCTAAGCACCTCCCACTTTTAACACTTCACTTCCATCTAGATCAAAGGTTGTCAACTTTTACGGCACACAATTAAATACTTCAAATGATTTTACTTGTTTGTGTTAGAGTTTCATATTGAAACCTTTTATTATAGGTTTTATTAACAGCATTAAAGGATTTTATTAGGGTTTCTCAAGGGCAATAGGACCAACCGTCACCCTCAGACCAGGGTTATTACATCAGAGGGATTTTATTACATTAGGACTGAGCAGCAGTACACAAACATAGTTTGTTGCTGTCTAAATATTTTTTCAGGTGCAAGGATTAATGTATGTCTCTAAATTAAATATGAAGTAATTCACAGGGTTTAAGGGTTAGTGTCAGGGTTTAGTTTCAAGGAGGTTTACCCCCTTTAGTTTTGTTAGATCCATCCGTTATCTTATTCTAACGAGGGTCATGGGGGGCTGGAGCCAATCCCATCTGAGAGGTGGACCCTGGACAGGTCGCCAGCCTATCACAGGGCTAGTTTTCTTAGACATAAGGCTAAAAACTAAATTAAATTTAGAATAAAAATACATATTAGTCCACTAAATAAGGTAATTCTCTTAATTTGGAGAACATGACTGTTTCACCCCACATATAAGGAAGCTCAGCCTAATAGTTTTTTAGAAGTAGGGCTTAAAGTTAATTAATTCTCTTTTTCACAATTTTTGTAATTAAATATTCTACAAATTAAATATTTTCAGAAGTCCTCTTTTTAACCAACATAGTTTAAATCCTTCCTTCTAAAATATCCTTTGCAAAATACATGTTTTCAAATTAAAATTGTAATGTTATTCTCACAATTATAACTTTTTCTCAGAATAATTCCAATTGACTTTCGAGCAGTGGACTTGATAGTCCCTTGATTAATTTTTCCATTAACTACCTTTTACACCTGCAGTAAACTATCCTGACAGCATTGACTGAACTACGTCAGGAAGGTGTCATTATTAACTGTAATTAGAAATATTTCAGTGAACCCTGGCTTCATTATATCAGTTTTCTAAAACGCTGTGCAGTTTACCTGAAGGACACGGAAACTTCAAAATATCCAAATCAGGTTCAGTTAATTCAGTTTGTGAAAAACAATCTACCTGTACAGGTGTTTCTCAGACACATCAACTGGAATTTACCTTTTGTATTTCATGTACAAATGTAAAAAACTTCCTATCAATCAAAAATTACTCTTGGTTTTATGAAACTGTCATTGCAGCAGCAACAAACCTTCTGTGAATATCCACTCATATGAATAGGATGTGAAATATACACTAAATATAGAAATGTATCAGTATTTGATTATAATAGAGATGTTAAATCAATATACAATACTTAAACACAGGCTACAATATGTTTATTGCTTTTGTACTCTTTGGGTAAGACAGTAGAGTGTTTAGCTACAGCAAAACAAAACAGCTGGAAGTAAAAATATTTCAGAACGATCAAAAAGTTGTTTGTCTCAAAGCTAAATTCACAAAACTCAAAGCTCAGGCCTGTGAAGGTGGAAGTGGTTACATTAAAGGACAAAGAAAAGATGAATTAGCATTTCCATGTGAGACGTAAATATTAGGAGTTGACTGCATTAATCCTCTAGTTGGTGCCATTGAACCAGTGTGGTGGACGAGGACACGAGACGGTTTGATGGTTGCCGTTTCCTCTTCTCTCCACATGGATCTGGGGTTTTCCATATCATCGTTCAGGGTTCAATTTAAGCAGCGTTTAAATCTTCAAATATAAAATGCAACTGCATAACAGACATGAAAAGAGTAACTGAGAAATTTAAATGTTGTGATGACATTTTCTATTTTGGAAGAGAACATTATGGCGTAACTCCAAATGTTTAAATTCTAAGCCCACCCTCCTCCTCCTCCTGCACTCAGGTGACCCTGAAAGCCTGAGCAGGCCCACAGACGTCCTGGGCTGCAGACTGAGCCCACAGAAACTAACAGTGATGTCTTCAGTCAGGACATCTGTCCTCATATTACAGCCTGTGTGAACACTAGACCTCTTATGTAACACTGATCCTAACATTAGCTCATGGGACATTTGCATGTTTTAAAAAATGTACACAGAGTGTAACATGTAGTTCTGTTGCATGTGAATGTGTGAATGAGTGGCAGCTGTCAAAGGTCAGGGTCTTCCCCCCTGAGGGTGTTGAACTCATCAGGGGCTAAGTACTTGTCAGCAGCCTGACCAGCTGACTGGCGAAAGTCGGCTGCGATCTCCTCAAAGGTGCGACCTTTGGTCTCCGGCACCTTGAAGTAGGTGAAGACGAAGAAGCCAAGCAGCAGAACAGTGAAGATGATGAAGACATAGGGGCCGCAGAGTTGCTGCATCGACAGCAACATAATGTTGTTAGATACAGTGTGTGTGGGCAAGGCGACAGTCAACATTTAAGAACGTTAATGGCATTTCTGGACTGATGACAAACTGTAATGTACAACACCAATACAATTTAAAATAAACCATCTTACCTCAACATACTGGAAGCACATCCCCACTAAGAAGTTGGCAGACCAGTTGCAGAAACCAGCAACGGCAATGGCAGCGGGCCGGGGCCCCTGGCTGAAGAGCTCCGCCACTATGAACCAGGGGATGGGGCCGGGGCCGATTTCAAAAAAGGCTACAAAGCTGAAGACGGCTGCCATGCTGACATAGGACATCCATCTGAGCTGGTCCTGGGGAGCACAGCACAGACACCCTCAGTCTTTTTATTTGAAAAGCCTCAAGGATTAAGTAAAGGTGACGTGAAAAACGCACCAGCAAGGCCATGGCGACCGTTAGAAAAACTGCTGAAACTGCCATTCCCATCAAACCAGTGAGGTGAAGAGGTCTCCTCCCCACATGCTCCACCACAAACAGCTGCAGAGAAGCAGAGAACGCTAGGCATTACTGAATAGAGTTAGGTGTTGCCAACATCCTGGAGATACACAGTGTGGGACTTACAGACACCACAGTGAAGGCCGTGTTGACCACTCCTGCACCAATGGTTGCATAGACCGGCTGAGACACACCCACCCGCTCAAAGATCCCAGTCGAGTAGTAAAACACCTAAAGAGGGTGACACAACACGGGGAACAGTTCCTTTACATTTGTTGGTGGCAGTGTGTGCACGAGATGCTCTGCAGACTCCCAGTAACTACAGTCTGCTTCGAGGCTTGATTTACCTGATTCTTACATATGTTACTCAACATGACACATGAAACACGTAATGAAAATTCAAAGATTTGGGCAAATGCTACTACCTCAGGTCCTCTAGTCCAGTTCTGGGGGCTGCAGGCTAAGCAAGGTAGCCCAGCTCTTTCTGTCTCAGACCTGATGGAACACACTGTACATAGCGTGTACTACCTCTGGCATGTTCTGGGTCTGTACCAGGGTGTCACCCCAGTGTAGAATACCTTTACAGGGAGGCATCCAGGAAATCAGATGCTGTAACCACCTCAGCTGGCTCCATTCAACATGATGGACCAGTGGCTTTACACCTTCCAGGACCCAAACCCTGCACACAAAACTGATCCTGGCCACTGGTACGCACCACCTCATTCATTCGGTCATTATCCAAAGTCATGGCAGCAGTTGAGAGCTTCACTTTTAGGCCCAGTTTGCTCTTTACCACAGCAGTCTGCTACAGCCAGCAGGGCACCAGGTATGTCTGGTTTATGTTGTGGGCAAGAATAATCTAGTGCAGATGGATATTCACAGATTTTCTTGCATGTATCGTACACATCTGGTGACAGGGCAGTGATGTCTTAGCACTGGAGTAAAAGAAGAGAAATCTACTGTTCATATACAGTTGTCGGATCGTACCATGTGGCAGACCTCATCTGTCTGACAGTGACACTGTGGTTCCCCTTTGCTCCTTTGACTTACAGCGTTGATTCCAGACAGCTGCTGTGACAGCTGCAGCATGATGGCAACCAGGATGGGCTGGCGGTAGATGGAGGAGCGGAACAGCTCGGGGATGGTCACCTTCTTCTCCCTCATCATCTGCTGGCTCTCCTCCTTCATCTCCTGCATGTCCGTGCTCACGTCGTCTGTGCCCCGCAGCTTCATCAAGACTGGAGCACAGGAGTTCAAGTTACATCCACATCAGCCTGGTAATGGATTATCATGTAGCTATATATGTGTTTAGAAAAGTCTTATAACCACAAAATGTAACAATACTGTTCACCGTTGCATGCTGGGAAACCCTAAAAGTGGACAAGACAGCACTCTCTTCTTACATCATTTAATATAAATGGCCTGAGTGGATTTGGCCTGAATGCTACTGAAGTGGGTTTCCATTCACAGTGTTCACCAGTCTGACGCGGACCCACAACAGAAATGTACTGAACAACAACAGTTGTCATGTCCTCTCATCGTCTTTATGTGGCCTATGGGTTCATTGATTTCATTGATTTTCCCAGGCTGGATACAGAGCGTCAGTCAAAATGAAAGTGAATGCTCATCAGATAACAGAAAGAGTTTGCAACGAAAAATAACTCAGGGTTTGTGTGACTTAAACAGCTGTCTGTGGAGATTACGCTTTATCGCACTGAGACCTGTGCCACGCCATTCGATACTTTTAATATAAAATACACTGTCATATTTGTCTATACGATCCCATACGATAAACTTAACTGTGTTTCCAAGGCAAAGCTTATATTTTATTCCCGTTCTGTGCAGATTAATTTAGCTGTGTGGGTAAATGTTGTACTTATTTTTATTTTTGTCTGGCTGTGCGCTGCCTTTTGGATTATGTACTGTAAATTAGCTGGCCCTTTAAGAGTGAGTTTTTTTCTTTTGTGCTTATCTCCACCCATGATTACACCACCAGCATGACGGTCCAGAAAATATCCAAGTGGATCAGCTTCTGTGCTTCTGGCCAGGAAACAGCGTCCTCTACTGTGGCGTCCGCTGGACAGACACTGGTATGCCACAGTGCACATGTGGTACAAAAATATAACACAAAAAGTCACATGGCAGCAAAAGAGTTGAGTTTGTTACCTGAGACCTGAATGTGTCGTAAATAAAACAACCCCATCTGCCTTTTCACAAGGACTGTTATATTTCTGTTGTAAACCAACCTGGATCATCTGACTACATCTGAAACAACAGAGAAAAATATTGGCATTGCACCTTTTTTTGACCAACTAGAGCGTTGGTCCATAAAATGGGTCTGTTGTCCTACGTGTCAGTTTTGTAACATTTGACTTGTACAATATGAGAAGCCCACATGCAGCTTCTCACATGCAGCAGGGTAAAATAAACTGTTTAAAACATCAGTCCTTTCATGACCCCAAACTTATTGTGGTTTCAGTAGTTAACTATGCAAAAAAATGGCAAAAAGAGCAATTTAACTACTTGAATCACTATGCACATATGAATGTAGCTGAACTACTGGTTTAATCACACGTAGCTCACTGCTCCCAGCACTGCCAGCTGAACATCATCACCTTTGGGGAGATGATGCAGGCCTGCTGGATTAGACTGATTTAGCATTAGCTTGCTGTACCTAATAAACTGACAACTGATTGTTTATTTGTATTGAAAAGTTTGCATCCATATGTGTGTGTGTGTGTCTCACTGCTGTGGGCTTTGCTCTCCTCGTTGCAGTTGATGAGGAGGTACCGGGGGCTCTCAGGACACAGAGGCAGCAGGACGCACTGCAGCGCCGCCGGCAGCAGAGTGAAGCCCAGTAGAAGGGGCCACAGGGAGGCATTCCCCATGATGGACTCAATCCCAAAGATCTACACAACACACACAGCACCCTGCTTATACATCCCCAACACAACACTGTACTGTACTAGTGCACCAGGTCATAACCAAAGCTGCAGCCCCGACTGGGCCCAGATGATTCTCACATCAGTAAAATATAAAATACAGCCATGTCCAGGTTTGTGTCAGTGCAAACATGTAAGAAACAATGTGCAGGATTTGGGGGGTGGGGGTAGCACAGACCAATCCCGCACGTGTCTTGACCAAACTGCATTTGACTTTAAGAAAATATCGTGCAGAATATTTGGGGAAAGGCTCAACGCGATGAAAACAGTTCCAGCAGGACACTTGCAGTGTAGGTGGCGCTCCAGACAAATTAACATAAACACAACAGACCGTATTACCAGTGTTTTATTTTAATGCTTGGTTCTGTGTCGTCCATTGTGCCCCATCCTTTGAGTAGTCATCTAAAAACTACCCAGGTAAACATCTTAACTGGAGTAATGCCTTAGCCTGATAATTAGATTGTTGTGTTCATGCAAAGCCATCGAGTTCTGTGCACAGCTGCACAGCAAAGGTCACGTTTGTAATGTTAAACATTATGCTGTAATGATGCTAAACATCATGTAGTGAAGTTTGAAGTAGCAGGACGCCTTAAAACTTATTTAACTACAATACTCGAGTCAGTGCACTTAGTTACCTTAAAGCCCTGAACATAAGACTGTATGTATTAGAATGAAGTTTATTTCTTGATAATATACTAAAAGACATGTTGTCAAAGTCAGCAGAGTGTTGGAGACCAGGTCGTGCTTAAAGAGAAAACGTCTCAACAGCAGCACTTCTATGTAACGTATGAGGAGGCGGCTTCTCGGTTTGAACTGGACAGACAATGAATGTGTGATGAAATCAAAGGTGATTACAATCAATAAAGTGTTGAACTGTGACTTGAAGCACTGTTGTTACAGACATTTAAGAAAACAACATGCATTTGTTGTTAACCTTGTCAACTCTCCATTCTAGAGTTTGAACTGGGAAGACAGGCGCCAAGGCTGTATGTTCTGTATGGGTATAATGGGAGAAAGAATGGAGTGATCTGAAGAGCAGCACCTGCACTGAAATAAGCTCACTGACTTGTTTATATTTCCTTCAGACACTTACATCCCTCCCTGCCGATATTTGCAGCACCTCCCTGCAGCATGGCTCTGTCCCCCTCACATCTGACCTTGCACCTCATCTTACAACAGATATTTTTTATTATCATGAAACATCTTAGCAAAAAAAATATTAAAAAAACAACGTTATCAAGCAGCTGGACAGAAGCGTTTACGTGACTTGTCAGCATCATGACATGAACACCCTAATCGCATTTTGAGGGGATTATTTGTGCATGTAAATACAACAGTGACTGGGAACAAGATGCCAACTCATTTGTGAGCAGGTCTTCGTGTGTGTCTCGGGTTTAGATTAGAGACAGACAGAGTCGAGACTTAACTGAGGACTGGCAACGGTGACTTGAATATTTTCATTAAAAGTAATGAAGCAGCCATAAAACATGTCACTGTGCAAGTACATACTTCATTCACCAGAACTAGACATGTACTGTCTCAGTCTACAGGAGCTGAAGATGTGAAACAGAGACACTGGTCACGGTTCGAGGATCTCACCTGTGCCATGAGGATGCCGATCACTACGCCGAGCTGATGCAGAGTGCCTAAAGCCCCGCGGAGAGATGTGGGGGAGATTTCCTCCACGTACATGGGCACAAAGCCGGTGGAGAGGCCAGAGTAGAGCCCCACTATGAAACGCCCAATGATGAGCATCTCAAAGGAAGAAGCCAGTTTGGAGAACCCCATGAACGCAGCAGCAATAAAGGCGAGCACATTGGCCATGAGCATGGAGTTCCTCCTGTAGAGATAATCAGAGTATCCATCAACAACGCACCTTTTATCAATGAATAGCGTTGGTCATAGGAAGAGTCATACCTGCCGAAGTGGTTGGCGAAGATGCCGACAGAGAAGGAGCCAAACATCCCCCCCACGGAGAAGATGGCCACAGAGAGCGACCACAGAGCTGTTAACACAGTCTGAGAGATGGGCTCTGAAAACCTGCTGCTCCACGTCTCATTGTAGAAGCTCTCAATAATCTGAAACACAAGACAACACACAGTTGGTCCACTTCTCCTCCAGCACCACCAGCATCTTCAGATTTTTTTTTCAGAGTGAACAACATGCTGCGTAGACATGGCCCCCGGAGGATGAATCCTTTTCCTCCAGCAGCTCAAAGTTGAACTGAAAACACTTTGGTAAAGTAATATAGGTGCTGTCATAGCGCTAATTTACAAATGCTAGCATCCTAACTTGCAGAACTGCGATGATGAAGCAGGCGGCAGCAGCTTCCTCAGCTGGAGTTTGACTAAACCAATGTGCACGTTGTCTAATCTAGATTAAACAGTCACCAGAGTTTTCACTTTCTTGTAGTGGCCTTGAACTAATTAATCATAGTGAAATGTTCCAGTGTTGGAAAGGAACCACTCCACTATTATTTTGGATAACCCCACCTTGTTTGCAGTTTTCCCACATTGTGTCATCACATGTTATTGTAGTGATGAACTGAAGTGGTGACGTGAGCTCAGGCAGTAGTCCACCTGGTAGTCCACTGCTAAACCAGATCTCCTTAATCCTTAATGCCTTCAACAAAGTGCTGCATTAGCTCATTAACCTGCTTCCTGTCAGTTCAGATTTCTGTCAGACCACTGTCAAACACAACAGGCAGGATCAGGAGCTTGTCAGCTGCCAAGGGACATGGGGAGACATGCACAGGTCCCGGCAGGACTCAAACTGGTGACAAGGATTCATTTCTCACCGCTTTTACAAACATGTGTCTGTTGCCTTTATAATAATGAGCATTACATCCTTTGTGTCAGTAGTAGCAGTGTAAGGCTTCCTCTGTGTGTGAAATGTGCTAAATGAATAAAGTTTGCATTTGTTTTGCCTCTAAACGTCTCTGTGGCACCCCATAAAAGACGATCTCTGTCAAAATGAAGAAGCCGTGCAGGGTGAATATCTGCATTATTTCCATGATGAAGGAACAAACTGTGGTGTCCATGATACAGAAGCTTCCACTGATATTTGGGGCAACGGGGACATTGTCGTCTGCCACACAAACTCCCACATCCTTCTGTGGAGGTTGTTGGGTCTGTAGGTAGTTGGGGAGGACGTCTGCAGACACTGCTCAGGGCTGAAAGAGTCCTGCCTTCCTCTGTATGTTTGGGTTTTCAAAAAAAACCTAACATTTAAGGGTTAACTGACAGATGTTACAACTCAGGTCTGTGAGGTGAAAGGGAAGCAGCAGACAAACCTGATGGAAGCTGTAAAGCATCTGCTCCTACTGTCACTGTCATTCTCACACCTTTCTTTACAAATGCCTTGGCTTTCTCTTCCTTCATCTCTCACAGAACAAAATACTCACACTCTGAGGAGCATTGATGACCCCTGTGTTGTAGCCAAACTGGAGAGAGCCAATCACAGCTGTCCCCACAGCCAGCATCAGCTGGGGCGTCACCTGCCGTGGGAACAGAGCGATAAAGGTCTGCACTTAAGACGAGGTTAAACATCTTCTGTATTTTACTTGTTCACAGGTTGATCTTTAGAAAGTCAAGCCATGGTAATAGAACTGTGTCTTCAGTTCAGACACCGGTGAACGCTGGGACAAGAAAAATCACGTCATGTCAGAGTTTAACTTGTTAGGGTCACTGGTTAAGGTCAGGGAAAGGGCTAAGGAATGTCAATGAGTGTCCTCACAAAGAGAGAAGTACAAACATGTGTGTGCACATGTACATGTTTTCCTTTTTGGGTAGACAAATGTTCTGCATCAGCATTCTGAGGACATTTTGGTTGGTCCTCACACCCTCAAAGGACTGTTTAAGGGTTCAGACTTGGCTTTAGGATTCAGGTTAGAGTCATGTTTAGGTGAAGGGTTAGGGTTAGGGTCAGACATTTAAGGGGCTAGTGTTTGTCCTCAGAACTAAAGAAAGACAAACAGGCTGCTATTCTCTGCCATACACAATATGACAAACTGAAAGTGCAGGGTTAGGGGATCACAGCCGTTACCTTGCCGCTGCACTCCATGCCAGCTGCTAGGTTTACTTACAAACTCCAGACTTCACTTCCAGACTAAAGAAAATTTGGATTGTTCGTAATCCTTCAAGTCAGTACAATCCACTTTCTACGAAGATGTGTCGTCATGATCCTGTCTGCCGTCTCATTTAGTCCAACATCCGTGTAAACACATCTTTGTCAGTTTCTGCCTCCATTCACCTGCTGCAGTAAGCAGCTTAATGACGTCCTCAATAAGTGGATCTAAATGAGCTGCCGTGCCTCCAGAGGAGTCGGACAATCACTGCACCGATTGGCTGAGAGGAAACACGTGCGTTTTCAGTGTTTTTACATTGACAATTTAATCATCTGTGAGTCGGTATTAAATCAGGTTCAAATAAAATGCTCCCTTTGACACAACATGTGGCCGAAGGTTAATTTAGTGACGTAGATTAATTTAGTCATCATCTAAACAGCACTAAATAATGTTGTCTTTTAATAAAAGTCACATCCTAAAGCTATTTCTCACAGATTTCAAGTTTAACATTTTTATTTAGTAGTAACTTTGTCCTTTATTCCTTTTCTTTTAGTGTTTCGAAGAGTTTTTAGCACAAGTTCTGTTCACTTCGGATTTATATGTATCTCATTATAGTAAATGTGTTTGTATCTTTGTGCACATATAGTTTTTTTACATTTGACAAATACACACCAAAGACCACGATAACATTCCAGGATTATTTCACACTTTGGTATTAATTATTCACTCCTGTGACATATTTACATACAGATGTGACCAGAGGCCTCCCCGTGTCATTCCAACACCACTATACAAACTAAAAGTGTGTGTGTGTGTGTGTGTGTGTGTGTTCCTCGTGTTGATCCAGGTGAGAGGCTCTCTCTCTCTCACTAATCCTCAGAAACAGAAGCTATTTACAGACGAACTCAGCGCAGACTGTCTCACTGATGCCAGCAGGTTAACCACAAGATAAACAGTCATGGTGCCTTTTCCTAGATATACTGGACCTGAGAAATGTGAAAACCCAGTAGCTGTGCATGAATTTCAGCAGGCTTTATTAGTCACATTGTGTATTTGTATGGGAACCTGCCTGCCTGCATACACAGCACGAATGGACAGAGAATAAACAAGATGAAGTCTGGTTATGCTCAGACAGAAGAACAGCTTGTACAGCTTGTTGTCTGACCACAGTGTTTATAGCTGTTTAGAAAAGGCCACAAAGCAGAAAGTCACACAGTGCGAGACTCTTTTAGTTTAAAAGCTTCAGGGTCTGAGTGTTGCAAACTTAAAACCTACTGTTTACCCAGTATTATTTATTCTGTCTATTCACTTATTTTGTGGTGTTCATGTTTTATTTGGTCATTTTTATCTTATTTTAATCATTTGATTATTTGACATTTTATGTTTTTAAAAATCAGTGACATGCATTAGTGTCAGGGTGTTTTTACTGTTCACGGTTCTTATCAGCTCGTCAGTTCTGTAAAGCACTTTGAATTGCATGACGCTCTATGAAAGGTGCTGTACAAGTCAAATTTGATTGAGGATAGCGGTGCACATGCCAGGATGACACTCGTAGTGTTGTACTCGGTTGTTCATTTTAAAAGCAAAAGAGCCAGTGGTGTAGAAAAATTTAAAAAAGGAAGTAGAAGAGAAAGAAGTTTGAACTACAGCTGTTTTCTCACCTCCGCGCTGCTGACCAATCACAGCCTGACCTGGGTGTGAAAGTTCATTGCAACCTATCCAGTAGTTGCTGAGATATTTCGGTCTGATTGATCATGTAACACCATGGAGATAATCATTACTACCACCACTATCAGCACCATATGATTGTAATATTGTAATGAAGCACTGGCTAAACGTTTAGTAGCTTTCTAGTGCTAGCTCAGCTGCCTTTGTCCAGTCACATGACCCTTGTATGCTGTAGCAGACCTTTGTTAATTATAGCAAAGTGCCTGTGACAAGCAGGAGATATGCAGTTTGAAACGCCATGCATGGAGCAGTTAGCGATTTGCATTATGGGAAATGTAGGATCCCAGGTTTTTAGAGATTCACCCCTTACCAAAGGTCAGAATATATCAGCCTCTGCTTCTTTAGTTTTTGAAATTCCTTTTTAAAAATCTGTCTCTTGTGAGTCTTTCAGCTATTTGGAAGTGACAAACTAAATGACCAAATCCCAGACTACAACCCTTTAAGCTTCTTCCCCTCCCACAGGTTTGTAATGGGCTTTTGAAAGCTTTGGTTAAAGTTATGTCTTCACATAAACTCGCATCTCTGTCGACTGTTCCCTTTAAAGTCTTTTGTTATTAATTACATTTAGAAAGAATACACCACTTTGATTCAGCGTCTTCTTCAGGCACAGACACAGCAACTGGTTTTGGACTCAGCGCCTGGAAAAACAAGATATGCTTGTTTCCCACAAATGGATTAGATTTATCTCTCACCAACTCCATCTGCTCTGTGGTGCTCCAATGTAGTTACTTGACAGTAGAATAATACTCCATTAATGACCTGCATTGACCATTTTACTGAAAAACCAGTACAAGGGCAAAACAAATGTCCTATAAGCAGCAGTGGTCAAACAAGTACTTAAGTAAAAGTAACAATAACAAAGTGTAAAAATACTCTGCTACAGGTAAGAATCCTGCATGCAAAATGTTACTTAACCCCAAAATATTAGCATCAAATATACTTAAAGAATAACAAGTAGCCGTAGTGATTCTTGTGTCCCAGCCCGTGTCCCAGTAACGTCTCTGATACTGGATCATAGTGACTAATTACTGTGTCCATCACTTTAATGCTGCAGCTGGTAAAGGTGGAGCTGATGGTAACTACCTTATATACTTATACTGGGAAGTACTTTCCATCCTGCTGGGTAGCTGGTGGATTTCCTACTGGGATCAATAGAGTCTGATGGTTCTACTGGGTTTGGTTTGATTCATCTGATTCTGGTGTGTTTTTCTCCCAAGACCTTTTGACTGAATTGAAAGCAGCATACCATATACAGCACATACTGTCAGACTCTACCACACTTTAAAAAGTGGATCTATGATTGGACATGTGGGAAAAACATCATTCAGTACATTATAACTCATGCAGTGACAGATTTAAGATCTTAAGGAACATTGGCGGAGCGGCCAAACCTTTGCACACACACTCGGCTGCAACTGAATTCCTGTGTGGAAACAATGCACCAAAATAACCGTGGGAATGTGTGCATCCTGGCACAACTGCTGTTTCCACAGCTCCACTCAGCTGCAGGTCACTTAACGCTGGTTTATACATTTACCTTTCTTTGGAACATTTCCACATTGATCTAATAGAGCAAAGCATTTCCCAGTTTGTTTCTTTTGCAGCCAGGCTTATGCAACCCTGTGCTGAGCACCTCACCATATTTCCAGAGGCTGAGAGTGGGAAGAGAGTTGCAACGTGGAAACAATTCAATAGGCCCAGTGTGTACAAGCAGGCCAGTGAACTCCCCACACAGCACTCAATCAGAGCCCTGACAGAAACTCAGCTTTCTTTCTCTTTTTTTTCAAAGGAAGAGGAGTGTCCATGTGACATCACAAGAAACTTGAAACTGTCATTTTCAGTGGCCCTCCCTCATCAGCAGTGTTCACACTTCTGCTCCCCTCTCTCCAGCTTCTTCTTCTGAGACACTTCTCCAAAGCCAGGCCACAGTTAGCACCCTCCCTGCCCAGGCTGCACCTCTGATCCCAAGACTTCTGCTTCACAGCTGGGCCTGTTTCTGGAGGTAAGTCCCTGCATTCTTCTGGTTGGGCTGGAGCTGCTGTGCTGCCACGTGGTTGGTCTGCTGCAGGAGATCTGCTCAGAAGGAGTGAAGGACCAGGGCAGCAGCCAGTGCTCAAAGACCCTGGCTGAGAAAGGATTGTCAGAGCCACAGAACTTAACGCAAGATCCAGGTTATGCAGCTGTTCCAGATGTGATCCAACAGTTTTCCAGTTGTTAAATATTATCAAGCAGTTTTAATATCTGTTAACAACAAAGGTTTTGTTATTAGTGTTAATGAATTCACGTGTGTTAACTAAGACCTTCCTATGATCATATATGAATATGCTTTTCCCTTTAGCCTTGTTTTACCCTTTGATTTTTAAATTCTTTTAATATTATTTTCCTGCTGCGCTTCAGTGGGGTTGGTAGGTGTGTTTTTAAGTTTTACACAGAGTCAGGTGTCTATTATTTTTACTCTTTTTCATGTTTTCCTGGCCTCCGCTTTTTAACAATGACTAATTTTGTGTATTGATGTATAAATATTTTGTGGCATAAGAAAACTGAAAAAAGCTAAACAGAGAAATGCTTTGCTGCCATTTACTCATTTATTTAACGATGTGTATGACAACTACTGCACATAGTTGTAAAACTACAACTCAAGAAAGAAAAAGAACAAACTAACAACACAGTTTAGTTGGTGTTGAGATAAAAAGCCTCAGCCGATGTTTGTCCTCTTGTAGACAGATGTTAGACAGATGCTGCACAGTTTAAAAACAAAGACAAAAGCCTTTAAAAAAAGGTGAAAGTACTTACACAAGATATTAATCTACTCATTCCATGTTAAGAAACAGGGCAGGGCCTGATTCAGGCACACACTGTACTCTGTATGTCCCCTCTCACCTCACTGACTGTACAGTATACGGTGCTGTATACTGGGACGGTATACGGTACTGCATACTGGGACAGTATAGAGTCCTTTCATTATGTTCATTAAAGGCTCACATTTTCTTTTTGTGGGCTTATGAAGACATTTCAAAGCTCTGTTGATAATATCCACAGAGCTTTGTCTTGTGAATGTGAAATTCAGGAATGTGGAAGAACGTGTGGAATGTGGAGGAATTTCCTTAGAGGAAAAGTTTAGTGTTTGGGAGCCAGGAAGTAGAGGGAAAGACATACTGGTGGAAACTAGGTTCCTCAAGTACAATACTTAAGTACAAACTCAGGGTACTTGGACTTTACTCGATTGTTTCTGTGTTTGTACGTCTTTGTGTCTCTGACACCCTCCGTTACTTTGCAGATCATAATTTTTCATACACTTCCTGTCCAGTAAAAATCATACATCTCAAAATATTTTCAGATAAACTGAACAATGAATTGTTCCTTTATAGGTTAAATGAATTCTCCTACATCTTAAACTGAAAATATTTTTAAAGTCTCTTGGTATTAGCTGGAATATGCACCCTCACCAAACTGAAGAGAGGGCTGTTATAATCATAATGTAAACTGTCAAGTTAAAAAATAATGTTCACACACTGCCTGGCTTGATTTCTCTGCTTGAACATATTCTGAGCGAAAAACACAGACTCAGCAGCACAGAACGTGCACAAAAAGTATTGGCAAGAATCTCTTAAGCCTGATTGGTGCACAGGATGGGTGTGCGTACCTGCATCACAATAAGTGGGTGTCAGGTAAGCAGGCGAACCCAGGACAACGTCTGACTTTTACATACTCGACTGTCATTATTCTGAATTGGTCTTTAATCTTTGTGAGCACAAATTGTACGTGTTTAATCATCATATGTGAACCAATTGTTCAGTTAGTTGTGAAGGGATCACAGTCAGAAGTTTAAAGCTCCAATCAGGCTAAATAGTGTCCCTTTAACATGCATTGTTCCTCTGATAAGACCACTGTTGTGTGATGAGTGACCTTTGAACGGACAAAGAGAACCTGGTCTGAAATGGAACACACAGACCCTCAGCTGGAATGGAAGGTCTCCCATTACGTGGCACACTTAGGTGATGTATTCAAGCAGCAGCTGCATGACAGCGCCATGACAAGTGTGTTTACTTATAGTTCAAATGTCTTTGGTTCCTCCCTGGGAAACACGACTAGGTTTAGTAATAAAGTGCATGAAACCATGACAGTGTGAAGTGTCTGCGTGGGGTCGACGTTTACAAATCGAGTCCATGGGACGACTACAAAATGTCCATGTCTGAGGAACCAGCTTAGTCATGTTTGAGCGGGGAGGTCCTTCTCAGCTGTTATCACTGTCACTTTTGAGCTCTACAGGGAGGGGAGTTGACCGGGCTTCACTCCAGCCTTTTATCTATTGAGCCACATGCGTTTCACAATAACGTAATTCTGATATACTGATTGTAGTCAGCTGCTCATTTAGCTGAATAGTTCATTTGTCTGTTTGGTGAAGTATTTGGTCTTTGAATGATTTATATATTTATCCTTTTATAACATCTGCAAAACACATGGAAGCTATAAAAATTTCATTATTCATAAAATACAAGTAGATTGAATAGAGAATTAAGATCTGATTAAATGCTGTCGATAAACACAAGGCCCAAATCGACATGCCACCACAATATAGCCTACAGCAGCTATAAACCATATTTCTATATTAGCAGTGGATCAGATGACAGAGTGAAAGCTATCACAGGCCACAGAGAACTGGTTTAACAACACACAACTTTAATTATTCAAATGACTGCTGATTATGCATACAGTGAAGCCATGGATGTATTAAAGGATAACTACACCCTCAGATTCTGCTGGAAACTTCTCGTAGCATTTTGATAAAATGCAGCAGCAACTTTAGGGGATTTGACCCTGTGGCTACATGGTCCACAACAGGGAGGTTCAGGGGACACAGAACAGACCAACGAACCAGTGTGCAGTGTCGCATGCACAGAGGCGATGGAGCCAACCATCTGTGAACTACTGCTCTCCGCTGTAAAGATGGAGGCTGCTGGAGCTTTGATAGTCACTAAAACACAATCACCATGTCAGCAGTGGCTCCACTACAAGAGGCCAGTGTGGGAGTCAGTGTCAGTACACAGCTGTAGCCCTGCTGTTCACCGTGGCTAACGCTACTGTTAAGCAGCCTCAGACACCTTACGCTGTGAATGCAGCAGAGCCCCTTAATGATTATGGTGACAATTTCTAAAATAAGTTATTTTGCATTCCTTCACAATAACTTGTGAACTGTCAGAGTTGGCCAGTACAGCTACCCACAGTGTTAATGGTGGACTCAATTATAAAGCCAGGCGAGATAGAGTAAATATCACTTTACTGCACTCACTCAGAAAATACACAGTGACAATCCAGAAACCATAATCCAAGTCATACAACAGTCCAGGGTCAATACCGGCAAACGAACACAGCCAAGGGATCCAAAACGGGAGGTCAAAGAAGTCGGTCCAGTAGTTGGTACACAGAATAAACATTCAGGAGGGCGAGGCAGAAATCAGTAGTCAGGAAACAATCTGGGGTCAAGAACACGAGGATAACGCGGGAAAGTCTGCACTGAGTCAAGAACAATCTGGCAGGTTACTGGTGGGAGAAGGCTGCTTATAATGGGGTGAAAACAGGTGTAGGCAATGAGCAGTGATTACTATAAAGAATCCATAACAGAGATGAACCTAGAACAGGAAGCGGCAACAAAATAAGGGCCTGAAACAGGAAGCAGTAGGACAGAACCCTGACAGTGAACTCTGATACTGATGACATGGGGCAGAATGAAGCTGCTGAATTTGACTTATGTAGTTCACTTTCTCACTTTCTTTGGTGTAACTGTGGCACTGGCACTTTACCAGGAGCACCAGTGTCGAAACATTTCATATCCGACATCAGGTTAGTTGAGGACAGAGGAATCTGTTTGTCAATCACTGCAAACACTTTACCATTCTGCCTATAAAACTCTTTAATACCACAAGGTCAAAATATGTGAAGGTGCAGTAATAGATTTGTTGCACATGAGGACAGTGAACAGTCTGTGCTAACATCATAAAGCTGTTATGGTGAACCGGTTAGCAGAGCAACATTAGCATGGTGGGGTCCTGTTTGCATCCACCTGATGAACCTAAGTCCAGTATTCACTTTGTTTTAGCTCAGATTTGGTCTCCACCAGCTTGTCTCTTTAGCTGCTAGTGCATCAGGTCTAACAGAGCTTTTTCACTGAATTCAGCTGCTGTTGCTGGATTCCAGGCTGCCTCCATCCGTTACCCTGTTCCAGACCGTTTTCAGGTCAGGACAGGTCACCAGTCCATCACAGAGCTGGGGCATGTCAGACAATTAAAATTCACACCTAATTAATCTAAAACTTCTGGGATATGGGAGGACTGTGAAGGACTCTCGCCCAGTGTCACCTGGGATTGGCTCCGGAGGGATTTTCCCCTTTTTCTCTTCCAGAGTCTTCTTTCTCATCATTTCTGCTGTGGAGCTTGTGTTTTTTTACTGCCATTTGTAGGTTTGTTCACAACATAGTTTAACTCAAATAGTTAGGAATGAATAAGATTTTGTGGAGAGGTACAATCCATTATATTGTGGTGGCGATCCAGATCATCATCCTTATCCATTTTTTAAAAACTAATAATCATATCATTGTGAGTCCAAATGCCAGAGGAAGGTTTTTATGGCCAGAGAATCATATTATAAGAGTCAAACTATCACGGGAACATAGCTTTTAGGTCCAGTGGCATTAAGGGGAGAGTGAGCTGCCTTGGCAGAGGCGTGCGCTCTGTGAGCGTTGTCTGGTGGTTGGGTCTAAGGATAGAAGGCACTTTAGGTCCTTGGAGGCACATTAGGAGTTTACAGTTTTGGGCTGTATAAAAAAACTTTGACTTGAAATGTAACATGTAATAGAATTCTGTAACTGAAGGACAGTTTGTAGAGTAAGAAACTCACTGGGTGTCAAAATGGAACATCTGCTTTTGACGAGGGCTAAATAAATAAACTATTACTGATATTATTATCCTGCACCAAAGCAATGTGTTGGAGTGACTCAACAGTCATCCCCAGGGCATGTTGCTAGCTAGTGTTCCTAAAAATACACACACAGTCACCACCCAGGGTGTGTATCAGTGTTTTAACAATAATCCAAGATGACAAGTTACCGCTAGTGCAACTGAAACTGTTTACATTCTGATAAACATGCAAGTTTTCCCCATGAGGCGGTTTTAAGCAGTTTGTGTTTTGTTTCTTCTTTTTCCAGATTTCACCTTCCTTCATTCTTTTTCAAGTTTCCATCTATCTGAAGAAATAACTCGGTCTGAACCCGTCCTAAGTATGGAACTGCAGAAGCTATCCAACGGTAGCCACCACCATGACGTTACTGTGCCTGTGGACGGAGGGTGCGTACCTGCTGACTGCTTTCAGAGCAAATCAAGTACATTTATATTTTAAAGTTGAATGAGTGTTTGTGCTTTATTTGTGATGCACATTTCAGCATCGCACCAGAGGAAGAAAACTTCCTGCCACACAAGAGTGATGGATCGAAGAGACCTCAGTTCACAGACGTGAGTATGAGTGAGTCTGCTGCTCTGTGTGTGCGGCGTCTGACATAGTCTATAAAAAACAGACATTCACTTCTGAATTCTGTGACTTATTATCACATACTAAGAAACTGTACAGGAGGGGAGAGGGAGGTCATTTTGAGACTTTGTGATGAAGAGATTCGAGATTTTATTTGCCATGTATGCATAAACAGACAGTCTAGGCATATAGGAATTCTTGTGCAGCTCTCCGTTGGAGTCAGGTAAGGAGTCAAAACCCAGAAAGAACACTTAGTCTTAAAATTAAAAAGCTACATAAAGGCAACAAAGCATTAAAACCACAATACACAAAAACAGAGTAATAGTATTTCCCACAGTGAACTTCAAACATGGCCCACTCTGCAGCCTAACATGCAACAGCTGATGCTGTGTGTGTGACGTTAATACTCCAGGCTTGTGTCTTACAGTTTGAAGGTAAAACCTCCTTTGGGATGTCCGTCTTCAACCTGAGCAACGCCATCATGGGGAGCGGCATCCTGGGTCTGGCTTATGCCATGTCAAACACCGGCATCGTGCTTTTCCTGTGAGTAACAGAAATATACACACTTTGGCACCGAGTGCAACAGAACGTGATGCACACACGGCACTGGAAGTGACTGGCAGAAGACAGGCAGACACTTGAGGGGAGACCAGTCAAATATTACACAGTGCCAGCCAGAACCTGTCCACCGCTTATGTTGCCCTTCATTACAAAGCAGAATGTGCAGCTCTAACTGTTAAAGCTGGACAGCAAAGATAAACAATATTTACAGTGCAAGCTGTGACATTTATCAGCAGCACATTATGGATAACTGGCACAGCATGCAGTCCAGCCTGCAGAGCTGGTGGGGGACAGACACTGGACACACACATAGATATGGTCATGAGAAACATGTGCATACACTGCATCTACAAAGCAAAGCTCTCCGTGTGCCCAGCTGACATCTGGTGCTTTATTTCTTGCTGTTGAAACGTGTTTTTAATTGTTCATAAATAATGAAAGTACGTTCCCGTTTCTGATACACTGTACCTACTGTCCCGCCTGAGTCTACAAGTAAACACATACAGTAAAACAAAGTACTTGATGTCACTTTGGCTTAAAAAGCCGAATATGAAACATGTTACATACCATGCTGTGTGTGGTTTGGAACACAAGGACAGAAATCCAGGCACATATGCAAGGAGGTCTTTTCAGGAGTATTTTCATTCTAATGTTGATTACACCTATTAAGACAAGTTTCATATCAATAAAATACTTTTAACTAAAGTTTTCAGATTTTTTTAACTTTACAATATAACAGGGGGATAAAACTACGTAGCCTTTAAAGCGGGGTGCAGCGTTTGGCGAGACTGAAAAGCATTCTCTCCTTGGCTTCCTAAACCCGATCTGTGCAGTGACATCCACACCGTCATGGCTGCCTGCAGCTTTGAGAATTAAGAGAAGAAGCAGCTTTTCTAAAATGTTGCCCCAGAGGCGGTGTGGTACTGAAACTGAAAAGTGACAGTGGTGACCATGTTATGTTTTATAGATTCCTTTTTTTCTGCATTGCGTGTCTGTCCTGTTACTCCATCCATCTGCTGCTGCGCAGTGCTGGGGTTGTGGGTAAGGCTTCATATAAGTCAGAATACATCGTCTCCGATCTTTTCATGAGTCCTTCTGCTGTATATGAAACCAGTTCAGTTACTAATACTGATCAGATCAGGTGTTTGAATGGTCCTTGATTATTGGTTTCATCAGGTATTCGTGCCTACGAGCAGCTGGGCCTGAGAGCGTTTGGTCACACAGGGAAGATTCTGGCAGCTGTTGTCATTACGTTACATAACATCGGAGGTAAGACACTGGTGTGGAATCTGAACTGTTCATGTCATATGAGTAGGTGGAGGTGATGATACACAACCAGGTGTGCTAATAAAACCTCTGGATGTCTGCAGCCATGTCCAGCTACCTGTTCATAGTGAAGTCTGAGTTACCACTGGTCATCCAAGCCTTCCTGGGTCAGACAACCAGCTCTGAGTGAGTAAAGCTAACAACTCTGACTTCAACTAAATGTCACTTTCCTCTGGATCTATCCGTGACAAAAATAAGTGCAGGGTAAAAGATGAAAGTGTGTTAGTCGACCTCTCAGTATCTTCTATCGTCCTACTTTTTAAGTTTCAGTAACCTTTTTAAAACAAGTGGCCACCGCAGTGTGAAGCACTTTCCAGCAGTGCATAAACCCACCTCTGGTGCCCTAGTCAGACATTTAGTCAGCTGGTGGATTGTTATGTGGAAGGGATTCACACACCCCCAAGTTAAAACTGCACAGGGGGCTGAGTTGGTGGTGGGGGGTGTTGGTGAAGCAGAGAGGGCCTCACCTGTGCTCTAAATGCACTTTGGATGGTTTTACACTGTATTTGTGAGTGTGCTTTACTGTATGTGCACATGATGTGTTGTGTTCTACATCTAGTGACTGGTTCTTCAATGGGAACTACCTCATCGTGGTCGTCACGATCTGCATCATCCTCCCTCTGGCCCTGATGAAGCACCTGGGTAATGTCACATCCGCTCAGCTTCAACATGTTCAGCAGCAGCTTTTGACAGTTTGTGCACAACAAGGCCGCTCATTATCAAGTCTTAACTCTGACCCAGTGTTTCCTTTTGGCATGGTGTAAACTGGATTTGCTAGCTTCACACAGTTATGTAAGTGACAAAGGACTGCTTTCCAAAATGATTCGAAGAAGCCAAGGGAAACACAAACAACATAAAATTTGTTCCAACAAACTAACGAGTGCCTGTAGCAGTTTTCGCTCTGAGGTTTGTCTGAAGCTCGTTCTCTTGCATCCTCCAGGGTATCTTGGTTACACCAGCGGCTTCTCTCTCTCCTGCATGGTCTTCTTCCTCTCTGCGGTGAGTCTGTGGGTCCTCACACGTGCACTACTGATACTGTCACGGCACAGGCGGTGCTGGAGAAATGAATTACCACTAAGATGTAGCACCTACTAACACGCAGACATATGCATTGAGTGTGTATGTTTGGTGATTACAATCGTAACCATGACACCACTGATCATACACTAATAAGTGTTTCCTAATTACACTGTGGTGGCTGGGTTATGTTCAGAGGCAAGGGTGTTTGTTTGTTTGTTTGTTTGTTTGTTTGTTTTTGAATGAATGAATGAACGGAGCACTACCTGTATTAATGGCAGCAGAGTTGTTGGATGATGGTTGGAGCAGTGGGTGAACAAAACCCATGGTTTTAAACTGGAGTTCACCCCCACAGTCCTGTTTGTGATTAGGGTTAGGTAACAAAGGCACTTTGGTTAAGGTCAGGAAAAGACTGTGGTTTTGGTCAAATGTACAGAAACGTGTTGTGTCTGAAGCCACTTTTATTAAGATGTTCTGTTACTAAACCAGATGACAGCCTTTGTCTCCAGACTTTACCAAGCCTGAACACAGCCATTCATAAGTGGTTATTATACTGGTAGGCTGGACATTTTGGCAGCAAACAGACATTTTACTGAGAGGTCCTACCTTCAATATAAACCAATTTTCAATTTGCCAATAATAAAGTAACAACATATCCTCTCACTGTGTTAATAAAGAAATGTAATCCAACAATTACATTTCAGTTACTTGTATTTAAAGAAAACCTTTAGGAGACAGAGTTGAAATATACTGTGTTTACAGTCCATATCCAGCAGCTTCAGAAAGTATTCAGAACCCCTCACTTTACACACTTTGTTATAGATTTTAAATGGATCTATCAATCTAAACTCTATAACCCATAATGCCTAAGTAAAAATATAAGTATTAAAAATCAAAAACTGAAATGTGTCGTTTACAGAAGTATTCAGGACTTTGAAGCCGCTCTGGTAGCAGCTGGAGCTTCCAGTCTTCTTGGTTTGGTCTCCACAGGCTTTGCACACCTGGGTTTGGGCAGTGTGTCCCACTCTTCCTGCAGATCCTCTCCAGTTCCATCAGACTGGATGGGAGATGTCTGATAGTTTTCTCAGTAGCTGGTAGGGGCTGTAAAAACTAAAAGGAAAGTGAATAGTGGATGTGCTTTCATCAGGCGGACACAAATATGACAAGATGAACAGTAACACTGATCTGTGCATGTCAGATATGTAAAAAGGCAACAGTTCAGTGAAACATTTACTAAAACAGCGTCATAAGGAGATAACATGTCCCCTTACTGTTGTGTTTACTGATTGTTCCTCTGCCACAAATGGCCAAAAAACACAAATACTGCATTAACTGGGATTTCTGATTGAAATTAATATAAAGGTGCTTAATTGTGAGATCACTCAAATTATTCTGAGTCCCACTGACAGTAGTGTAGTTTCTGTGTCACTACTATCTTCAGGTTAAATGCTTCTGCATCAGCTGGACTGAGAGATGAGTCACCCTCAGTGGCAGAGAAAAGTTAAAGCAAACATTGTGTCTGGGGAAGGTTAAAGGTTATTTGCTTTTGCTGGCTTCTCAAACTCACTTCCTCCGTCACACCAGGTCATCTACAAGAGATTCAACATTGCCTGCCCTCTGCAAGCGTTTGGCAACTACTCTGTGAACACAGTCGACCCAGAGGACACGTGCACCACCAAATTCTTCACCATCAACCTAGAGGTCCCTGAATTTCAAGCACACACACACAAAAATACCATGATGACATGTGGGGTGCTCTGAACATGTGTACAGTCAGGAAGTATTTGTGCAACATACTACACATGGCTGGATGTGCTCAGAGTGCACCTCTGAACATGTGTACAGTCAGGAAGTAATTGTGCAACATACTACACTACGCTGGATGTGCTCAGAGTGCATGTGAAGTGACCTTCCTATCACTTGATTTGCAGACGGCGTATGCCATCCCCATCGTGGCATTTGCTTTTGTGTGTCACCCTGAAGTGCTTCCTATCTACACTGAACTCAGCAAGTAAGACGTGTAACCTTGAGGTTTGTTTACAAACCAAATGGTCAAAAAAGTCATTTCATATAAGATGAGTGACAACTGAAAGGACGACCCGACACACAGGGTCCCAGTGAGGTGCTGGGCCACCACGCCCCACCAGAACAGCTTCTGGAGGGATGAACGCCGTTCCTCCACCAAATGTTCCCTCATGTGGTGTTTTGATGATGGTGGTGGAGACGCTGTCTAACACGTCGCTCCAACATCTCCCATAGCTGTTCGACTGGGCTGAGACCTGGTGACTGGGAAGGCCACAGCATCTGGTTCACATCACGGGGGGGGGGGGGCACTGTCATCCTGGAGAAGACCTTCTCTTTTAATTTGTCACCGTCTATAGTTGGTTTTAGATGTGGGCACTATAACCACATAAGAGGGTGTATGTTTAAATATAATCTTTCATGAAAAGTAACTATAGCAGCAGCGATGCATTTCTGTCTTTGTGTCCTTTTTTACTAACACATCTGCCATCTTGTTCCCCTAAAGTCCAACCAAGAGAAGAATGCAGAACATTGGCAACGTGTCCATCCTGGGGATGTTCATCATGTACTTCCTCACGGCCATATTTGGCTATTTGACCTTCTACGGTGAGAGCAGCATCTCTAGGTTATCTGCAACATATTGCAGCTTAGTTTAATGACAGTGAGAAGTCACAGGTTGGGTATGTGTGTGTGTGTGCAGGGAACACTGAAGCAGAGCTCCTCCACACCTACAGCAAGGTGGACCCCCTGGACATTCTGATCCTGTGTGTCCGGCTGGCCGTCCTGATGGCTGTCACTCTGACCGTACCTGTGGTCTTGTTTCCTGTGAGAATATATAATATGGCGTTTTACACACGTCCATCTAATATGCTCTCTGGCACTGACCAGAAATATCTGCGTGTCTTTGCACTGAAGTTAATACAGAATTAAAGCAGACAGGCTTCAATAAATATTCAAATAAAACCAGTGTTCATTTCTAAAGTTTAGAAATGGCCCAAAGGCACATGAAATTCTATTGGCTGAACTATCTGTACAATTTCAAACTTCAGTTAATTGTGTAGCAACATGTTTTAATTCTGATGAATCATCAGTACAAACTAATGAGATACTGCTGAAAAAATAAGCGTCATGGTCACATACTAAAAGGTACAAGAAGGAGTTGTCCAGGACCAGGTGATACTGAGCAAAGTTGTGTATTAGTAATAAAAACATTTCTGGTTTTCGCAGTTATTTCCAAAGCAGTTCTTCTGTAGTGTTATTTGTTTTTCACTGACGTATTCTGAGGAGCAACATTTCTGCATTTCTGTCAGATCCGCCGTGCCATCCTGCAGCTGCTGTTTCCAGGGAAGCCTTTCCACTGGCTCCGTCACATCGCCATCGCCATAACTCTGTTGTGTGTTGTCAACCTGCTGGTCATCCTCGTTCCCAACATTCGAGACATCTTTGGCATTACAGGTGAGACGTTAGAATTACAAGCAAAGCCTGAATGAAAACGGGTATTTCTGTAGAAACATAAGGTAGCTCTACCTTAAATAAAAGTCATGTTTGGTTGAAAAAAACAATGACATCTTAAAGAGATGCATCTATATCTATATAGATATAGATATAGATGCATCTCTATTTTTCTTATTCAGCATCAGCCATTTTGAACTTCCATATTAAATGAGAACAATTGTATATGTGCATTATGTGCAGAGTACGAAACAAATGGTGGATGGTTATTCTCAGTGGACTGTTCACTATGGCTAACCATGATATATAGCTAGACAAACTGGTTTTAAACTGGTTTAAATCAACTACTTTGTGTCATTCAATAAGTCTGTACCTGAGCAAACAAAAATAATGGGGAGTTCTCCAAGGTGCCCATGTGGGGCCACTTCTGTTCAACATCTACATGCACCCACTAGCTCAGACTACAAACTACTTAAAATTTTACATTATGTAGAAGACACAGATTGATTTAATTTCACCAAATGGTTGCGGTCCCACACAAACCCTGATGAAGTGAACTAAACAAATCAATGACTGGACGTGTCAAAATTTTATTTATTATTGTCAATAGGGTGGCACAGCAGCGTAGTGGTTAGCGCTGTCACCTCACAGGAAGAAGGTTCTGGGTTTCACCAAAAAACAAAGTGTTTAAAGGCTTATTCAGGGCGGCCAACATCCTTCTCTGAGAAAATTAAATGATTTATGGCTGCCTCTGTGTCCAGGGGCAACCACTGCTCCCAGTCTGATCTTCATCCTTCCCGGACTATTCTATATCCGCATCATCCCCACTGACCAGGAGCCCATGACCTCCAGACCAAAGATCCAGGTAGGTTTATATCTCCCCCTGGCTGAGAGGGGTGACACTTAAAAGTAAAGCAGCAGAGAACAGAGTTAAATGGTGTGAACACAGAGTGACAGCCAGAAGCAGGGTGGGCCCAGCGACTGTACACTGACATGTCTTCTTTGGGTTTCCAGGCTGCGTGTTTCACAGCACTGGGTTTCATGTTCATGACCATAAGTCTGACATTCATCGGACTTGACTGGACGAGTGGAGAAAACCGAAATCTCGGCGGCCATTAACATGCACTCCCCCCTTCCAAGCCCTACAGCAACAGCAGCCCACTGCTGCACCCCTCCTCCAGCCCCCTGCATAGGAAGCAAGATTCAACCTACTGCTGGAAGGCTCTGGGCTTTGGTGGGACTGTTTTCATTAATCATGCAGACGGACAGTCTGTTCCTCCATTGTCGAGTGGTGTCAGTTTGTACCGTCACCCACCCAGGATCCATCACTGGTGGTGTTCCTCTGCTCTACTTGAAGAGCTGACGAACATGTCGACCATGGAAGCCCCTCAAACACTACAAGCTGTTTGTCTTATCAGAAGCTAAATGTGGTGTAGCATAAGTGCAATGTTCAAACCAAAACATGTTTAATTATCAGCAAAGTCTGATGGAGAAAATGTCTTTGGTGGTGCTTTTAGAAATGCCATTCATAAATAGATCCCATAATAGTGTTTGACACTAGAGTCAGAGAGCCATTAGGGAGTTAACCAAGCAGGTAATTCACCTAATTTGATGAATTGTGTTCTTTAACTATACAAAGCAGTGTTTGGCAAACTGGAAAAAAAATCTTCCATCAGCCAAAGTTTGATACTAATTTTATACAACTGTGAACCAGTTAATTTGGTGCAAATCATTTGTGAATTTATTCTCAACCACGTGTACTATTTAATAAAAATTCAGAAAAGATGAAAACCGTCAGTTTCCTTTATGGGCTGCCACAGAAGTGGTGGGTGTTAAGCACATTGAAGAATCCTGTAGAAGTTCAGAGGCTCTACAGTGTGTTACAGTCTAAAGACGCTGATTTGGGGTGTTAGATGGTGACAGTAGGGCCACTCATCATGGCTTTACAAGAGCTGATCCTCAAGTTTGTAAGGCATCTTTATTCAAGCTGGTGCCATATATACAACAATACTTAGCTGATGGGGTTGGACAACATTCATGGACTACATTCAAATGCCATTCACTCAACATCTTCAGTTCAAATATAATCATGACAACAAACGAGCCGCTGAAGTCTGAAAATGGCGGAATGATTCCTGGGTTAAAAATTCCAAGTCAAAGATTTGATTTTAATCAAGGTAAGAATGAAAACATTTTCACGCAGCAACATGAATGACAACAAGTTTGAACAGAGGCAGTGTGACAGCACCCTCTGCTGGCTAGTGTTGAGTTTCAGAATGACCAAACCACGAGAGCGCGTCTCTCTCCTCCACCCACACATACACGTTGTGCATTAAAATGCCAAATTAGTTTCTACGGTACAAAAATCAGCTCTCCGACGTTGGCAGAGGGCGTGGTTGATAAACAGCTGTCTCTTTACCCAGAGAGCTGTTTCAGTCACATTCAGGCCTCTCTACAGCTCTAGGTTTTTACGACAACTTCAGCCTCAGCAGGCACAGCAGAGCAAGCCAGGGCATCCTTCAGCCCTCTCGGACTTTGGCAGCGAGTGCGGAGTTCTCCTGTCGAATGGCCTTGTAGTCATCCAGAATCCTCTCCAGGTTAGCCACAGTTTTGTTACTGTTTTCTGTCTCAATCTGTCGACGATCAGAGAAGCAAGAGAAAAAGGTATTTATCTGTGCTGTGAATCTGAAAATGTACTGCTGCCTTTTAAAATGAGTATTCCACGATATTCCAAGTGGCATCAATACGTTTTACACCGTAAAGACACATTTTAGTGCTTCTACTGCAATAACAAATGCTGAGCCAGGTAAACCACACAGAAACTCATATTAATCCTCTTATGTGACAGTGTAACAGAGAAACTAGCACTTTAAAATGTTGGTGTTTGAAATGTGATGGTGTAATAACTGAATGAATCCTACCTGCTCCTCTAGATCTCGAATCTCTCTCAAAATTGTACCCGTGTCCTCGATGGTTTGGATCAGGTGATTGCAGTTCTACAGAAGAACGCAAGATGGAACAATAGTATGTAAGAGGTTTTAAGTTAACAACAAGTAAGATGAAATATAAGAAATCAACACAAACATGATGACGTACTTCATGCAGGGCAGCCAGGTACTTGTAGGATTTGCGGACAGATTCATCTTTTTTGGCGTCCTAAACATGACAAAAATAAAAACCTGGTTTGTCCAATAACACATTATATATTGAAAACAACCATGTCAGGATTAAAGAGCATCTATACTGGTAGTGGAAAGTTTTCTTGTGTAGTACACTCAACTTCTATTTCCTCAAAGATCAAGCCAAACACATACTCAAACAGTAGAGATGTCCCGATCCAACAGGCTCAGTACCTGACCCAGTATTTGGATCAAGAGGCTTCTCAGATTAATTTCAATATGTCAATGATGAGCTGCTATATTAATCAATCCAGGTAGTGACATTATCGCTCACGCTTTATGTGTGTAGCCACAACCTGAAGTCTATTTTTTCGGAGCTATGTGTGTAAAACACTCCATAGAATCAGCCAAAACAAAGAAAGCTCAATAACTCCGAGCAGAACTTCACCAAAACAGAGAAATACATCTAGTAAAGCCAGCTAAAACGCAAGATGGAACAATAGTATGTAAGAGGTTTTAAGTTAACAACAAGTAAGATGAAATATAAGAAATCAACACAAACATGATGACGTACTTCATGCAGGGCAGCCAGGTACTTGTAGGATTTGCGGACAGATTCATCTTTTTTGGCGTCCTAAACATGACAAAAATAAAAACCTGGTTTGTCCAATAACACATTATATATTGAAAACAACCATGTCAGGATTAAAGAGCATCTATACTGGTAGTGGAAAGTTTTCTTGTGTAGTACACTCAACTTCTATTTCCTCAAAGATCAAGCCAAACACATACTCAAACAGTAGAGATGTCCCGATCCAACAGGCTCAGTACCTGACCCAGTATTTGGATCAAGAGGCTTCTCAGATTAATTTCAATATGTCAGATATTTAATGAACATTTACTGTAGGTAAATACAAGTATTGGATCAGAATTAGTGTCAACATTAGTGATCAATATCGGGGCCAAAAACACTGGATCAGGACATCCCTAGTTTTTACAACAGAGTTCATTTAGAATTGCGCTTTGCTCTTTTCATCTACAGTGTTGAGGTAACGTTACATGTGCACAGCTGAAGAACTGCCAGTTCTGGTGGTGCTATATATACATCACTGGAAATCTTCACCTGGCTGCTGCCAGAGGTCTAGTACTGGGGGAAAAAGTAACTGTGCTACCTTGAAGACCAGCTCATCAGTCACAGCGAAGGTTCTGTCCAGCTTTCCTGTCAGGCTGTTGATCTCTTTCTGGAGCTCCTTAGTGTCAGACAAAATCTGCCAGGACAGTCAACACAGTGTTGGAGAGGGACGTCGCAGCTGATACACAGCTCAAACCAACTGGCACAGAAATAAACTGATGTGGCTGCAAAACGTTGCAGCTGTTAGTGCTGACACGACTTGGCCATTATACTGCTGGCAGTATCCTGACCCGACCTGACTTGACCTTCTCACTGACTGCACAGAGATCAGTGTTGGCAGAATACATCGTGAAGCCTGACAGAAGTCCACCTGTGTCTAATTACAAACTGGATCCAAACAAACTAGCATGTATTTACCTTCCTGTTTGCTTTATGAATTAGATATGTTGTGATTTTGTAGTGGTTAGCAATAAAACAAGGCTCCAGAGGTGATATGTAATAGAACAGTATGTAGTTCATATAGATATTATTTGGGTTAGTTGTGTAAGGAGGTAAGGCTGAGCTAAGTGTGTACAGAAGCTTGATCTGTTTCTCTTCTCTTGCTCAAGCAGGAATATCTTGGGCTGTGTCCCCCTTGTTTAGCCTATGGGTCAACATCCTGAGTGAATTCCTCCTCAGATAGGGAATGGATATACTGTAGCTGTAGCCTTATGTCAACTGTTCGTGTGCTCTATTCAGGTTTAGAAAAAGGAAATGTGCGCTAGGTCAGTGTGACCCAGAAGTTCAGGTACTGGACAGTTTAGACAATGCTAGGAAGAAGGTGTGTGTGGGCAGCTGGCATGGGACCACGTCTTCATGGCTCTGGCTGTGTGAGTATGAGCAGATAAAAAGCTGGGTTAGAGCAGAAGAAGGGGGAGAGAGGATGACCATGCTACCGTGAACAGTGTACCACAAGCCCGGCCTCGGAGGGCCGGGGGGAAACGACGACTGACTGAGGGTTGACAGGGGAACCGACTCGGGACCGACATCAAATGGCTTGACTGACTGGTGCTCTGACAATCTTCTTATGCTTTATCTATTCCACTGCAAGAGGAGAGTCTCTGTTCTCTGTTTCCCTAACTACAAGATTATGTGTTTAAATGCTACTCTATTCAGAATAATTGTAATATTAAATGATCCTTTAAATTGGGATGGTTTGTCTGAATTAATTTAGTCGGCATCACACTCTGGCCACGACAATTTGCTTTTATTCTTACTTTGGTTATTTCCTCCTTCTGCTTCTTGATGTTGCTGACGATCTCTAGGATCCTCTGAGTGTATGCCGACCGAGACACATCCTGAGGAAGACTTTCCAACTCTGTTACCTATGTTGGAACAGAACAAGCACAACACAAACAGTCAAACAGGTTTAGTACATTCAGCAAGGTGCCAAAGACGACTAACTGTGCGGACAAAGTTAACTCCTAACTAGTGTTTTAACAGACAACCGTGCTAATAAAGATCAGATGAAGGCACTTTATTAGCTTTCAAAAGAGTCAGGTAAATGCAGTCTAATACCAGCTGCTTGTATATTTCTTCCTTCTTCTTGGCCTCCTCTGTAGACACACGGATTTTGTCATGCAGAGACTTGATTTCAGACAACTTTCTGGATGACTCCAGCTGAGGAAAATGGGAGAGAATAGACATGAGTTTCACACGTAACAAATTCAGTGACAAACTCAGCTGGTATTCGAGTCCCACAGACCTGTTTTTGACAACCCTCTAATCTTTTAATCTTCCTAACCTTTGCACTATAACGTAGTTGTTCAGGGTAACATGTTCTTCACTGCACTGTCTCTGTCTGCCAACACAGGCTTCTTGCTCATGGTTATTTGCTAAACTGAAAACCAGTTAGCATCATGGTAGCTGTCAAATAGTGCAGTGATAATGTTACTAATTATTTTGTGTCATATCACAGGGCTGTAGAAAGCTGACAAATGTTTCTAAAAGTTCTGCACTCCCTGTCTCCAGTTTGTTCTGGAAATGACAACATTTGTGTTTGGATCTAGTTTCCATATTTATCTGCATGTTCGCAGAATTCAACAAAGAAAGGTGAGAAGGTCTGTGGCAGCTCGAACCCACATTAGTTAATAGGCTGGATACAGTTCAAAAAGAGAAAATACTGTTGGAACAGCCACGTTAGGTTGGAAACATTACAGACTTGAGTCAGACTTGCATTTTTCAACTCGGTACAGCACTACTTACGTCCTGGTTGCTGCAGATTTCTTTGAGCCTGCGGTGCTCATCGATGAGTGGAGCGCGATGTTTCTCCCACTGAGAGGCCAGGTTCACCACCCGCTTAGCGCTGGCCTCCACTAGAGCCTGAAGGAGGGAACACACAGGTGTCACAGGTGCCCTACTGGGTTTGCTGACATGTACAGTATCAGAGAGCTCACGCAGCCCTCCTACCTGAAGCTTCAGCAGGTTGTTGTCTGCGTCCGGCAACAGGGTGATTGTTTTCTTCTTCACCTGCATCTTCTCTTCTTTTTCAGAGTTTCCCAGAACCCTTTGCTTCAACTCATCCAAAACCTACCCCAAACACACGACACAACAATCATTCATTTCATGTTCACTTCGCTCTTTATTGTGACTGAGGCTATGAAAGCTGATGTCTGCTCCATATTACCACAGCTAACTCCATTAAAAGGATCAATCTGTCTTTACTGTGACCCCTCTCAGACAGATCTGAGACAACAGCACCCCCCCTGCCTGCCCCACGCCCCACAATCTGAAGTTCATTAATATCAAAGGATTTTGTCACTCACATTATTATTCTTGAGGGATAATAAAGCTGTAATATTTGGAACTACAGGAATGTAAACGGTATAATGTCAGCTCGGAACAAGGCCATGACTCGGGCCTCTTTTTTAAATAATATTCGTTTACAATTAGATAAACTGACACCATTAAAAGAAGTGAGCTATTAGCAGTTTCAGAAAATAGATGGCACCATGAGGAAGGAAGATGATGTGCATACACTGAAGCAACAACTCAAAACATCAGCCAGGAAGTTAAAGCTTGGTCACACATGGACAATGACCTCAAGTAGACTTCCAAAGCTGTGGCAACATGGCTTAAGGACGACAGAGTCAAGGTATCGGAGTGGCCGTCACAAAGCCCTGACCGCAGTCCAACAGGGCAGAACTGAAAAAGAGGAATGGGCTGAAACTCCAGCAACTTACTGCAAGAAGCTTGTGAAAGGCATCCTGAAACCTTTGACCCAAGTCAAACACTTTAGAAGGCAACGCTGCCTAATACTGACCAAGTGCATGTAAACTTCTGACGCACCGGGAATGTGATGAAAGAAACAAAAGCTGAAATAAATCTGTTTCTCTACTTTTATCCTGACATTTCACATTCTTAAAATAAAGCAGTGACCCTAACTAACCTGAGACAGGGAATGGTTATAAGATTAAATGTCAGGAGTTGTGAGAAACTGAGTTTAAATGTATTTGGCTTATGGTGGACCTCAACTCGGTGTACTGACACTACCACTGGATTACTGTGGAGAAAACTTAAAAACAAGACACAGAATCTGAACCAGGATCAGTCTTTAGTCCATTAAGCTCAGCTAAGGTGTGCGTGCATGTGTCTGTGTTTTACCTGTGTATTAGTCACACTCATGTGCTTCATGTCTGCTGTTAGCTGGTCGACATCACTGCAGAGCCCCTGGAACTGCAGCTGGAGTGAAGCCAGCTCCTCCTGATGACGGAGCTGGATATCACCCTCTGAGTGACGCCCAGTGGGGACGGGGCTGGTTACTGCTGCTGACTCCTAGAGGAGACACACACAAACACACACACATTTAGAGACTTTCACTGTGCAAACATTTGTTTTAAACCAAACTGTATTTAGCATTTTCCTGATGGAGCGGTCCTCACCTGTGTGAAGGTGAACTTCTGTGTGTGGGTGAAGTGTGTGCCCTTGCTCAGGATGTGGTCGGAGGGGGCGGAGCCTCTGAAGGTTTGCAGCAGTTCACTCAGGTCAGAGGTGGAGCGAGGACCACCAAAGGAACTGTCAGGAGAGGGCAGGGAAGCAGAATGCAGCTGCTCCTCGATGCGTTTACGCAGCCGGGCCATTTTCCTGGACCGGTACTCCTGTTCAACAGCAGACACGGGGACCGATGAAGCCCTTTGTTCCACTGGATATACATGTTTATATCTATACATGTGTACACTTTCCTTTGAGGACTTTAAACCTACTGTACCTAACGTCTTTTCAGTCTGGAGGGTCTAGTGAGACTCAAAACAACCAACACCATGACAACCTGGATGTGTTTGTTCAAGCTGTATATTATTTCAACACTGACTTTTATCTGTGTGGTTTCATTTCAGTGCACTGACAAATGCATTGCCATTGTTCATGTGAGAAAGAACAATAAATGTTCTGAGGATTACAAACACATTAAGAGACAAACTGTCTGAGGCCGTCTGACATGTAGTGAGTGTGATGATTTGCCTGTGGCGTGAGGCGTGACAGGAGGCCCTGACTGTTCCACTCAGTGTCCCACTCCTGAGCAGCGCTCAGCTCGGCGGCGTGCTGCTCCATGATGGATGCCACCACAGAAGCATAATGGGAAGGCTGTGCAGTCACAGGAGGAAGAATGTGTCTCTGGTAGGCTGTCATCTCTGAAATCACAGCACACACACACACACACACACACATTATATTCCAGTTCCTTCAGCCTAGGGCCAGTTTTTTGTAAAGAGTTACACAAAGATGTTTGTGATGCAGTCGCCTTGTTTGTCAGAACTTTGCTTTCACTTTGTAAAGCGTCCACAAAACAGTTAACCTGTTAGCCTCCCATGGCGCCATCCGCCCAGACTACCAGCTCACATCAACCATTCTGACAATTATTATTCCACTAATCAAATCTAACACTCATAACTTCATATTATAACTATACACAAGGTCTTTAAACATTTTTTCCACAGACAGGTGATTACTAGAGGTGCACTGATATTCAATTCAGGGCCGATCACAATCACCATTATCTATTTGTTGTGACCGATACCAATAAATTAACTGATAGTAATCCTATAAATGCAAATGTGAGGATAATAAATTAGATATTTTTAAATTGACATGTTCATTTTCCTAACACATCATCAATATTTAGAGAGCCTCCACCACCTCTGAAATAAAGAATAACTTGTGTCTAATAATCTTATCACCATTAGAACGACTTCACATACTGTTGGAGTCATAACTGATTAAAGCCTTGACTTCATAAACTGGTTAACAGCCCTGTGTTCATCTTCATTTTCTTCTCTGTCCTCCTCCCGCTGATGTGAACAGGTACTGGACCAGTGCTTCTGGCTGGTCTCAACTCATTTCCACACACAGAACTAATCAGGCTTGACTGTTACCTACAATAAGTGTTAGTTTTTAGATCATTCAGTTCAGTCCCTGCTCCGCATCATCAACATTCCTTTATGAAACAATCACAATAAGTTAGCTACCGATCACCCATCAGCCACAAGAGAAATGATGAATCATTATTCTCTTTTTTAGGAAAGTATGTTTTACAATTCTGGGCCCAGATAATGACACACAGACTGAGCGACTGTGGTGAAACTCAGCAAAGCCAGTGAAATCCTGCAGCGTACACTCAGTGTATGAGCAGCAGCAGGAGGAGGAGGAGGAGCCTACCTTTCAGCTGCTTCTTTCCTGCACCTTTAGTGCAGTATGGCAAACTGAGCGGCTGAGCGTGGAAGCTGTGCAGTGTTTCTGGACTCTAAACAGGAAGAAAATGTAGTGTGTCAGAAATCAAGAAACTCTTTAGTGACGAGTTATAATCATGCACACATAGGCTGAGACAAGTCAGAATCAAGACACAGTCATTTTATTGTGACTGGAACATCCCGACTCCAATTCAAGTCTTTTCCTACTGATTATCCGCTGACTGGACCAAATCTGATGTTTAACTCTCCTACTATGTTTTATATGTTTCCTAGTACAGCTGTTGTTGCACCTACCCTACAATAAAACATGTATAAACAGCTCAGATGCACTGTGTCTGACAAAAGACTAGCATTGCATTATAAAATTAAAATCACAGTGGCTGGTTATGAATTTGTCCTTCAGACTTGCAAACTAGTGTAATATAATAGTATGTATAAAATACTATTACAACTAAAAGCCCTGCATTAAATAGACATAAGTACTACCAGGAAAATGTACTAAGTGTTAAAACTAGTATTGTACTTATTGTGCAGAGTGTACCCTGTCAAAAATGCACGTATATACAAGTACAAAGAACAGCATTTATGAATACGCAAAGTATTTGGTGCCATTTTCACCAATGATATGCACAATTTCACTGACACAAAAGATTCAAGGCAGTGCTTTTTTATTTCAGTTACATTTCTGAGACATTACATTACCCAGGAGCCTCAGCTGCCATTGTCAAAGAACCAGATACTTTTTAACCGTTTGTTTTTATTTTGTACTGATGATTCAGCTCAAAAGCTGAAACTGCCACGATAATACCAGCGTGTCTCTGCAGGCACCGACTCCCACGCCGTCGTGCCACTGACTCCGATGCCGTTTAGTTTGTGCGCTCCAGTTTCACAGAACCAGTGGGCCATTTTTGAAGTCAGATTTCCAGTGTAAGTTAGGAACTAGAACTAGTTCTGGCCTGAGTTGGCCATTATCCCAACCCTGCTAAGAGACTTCACTGAGTGTATTAATGTTTTAAAGAAATTACTTGTGTTTCAGCATGCAGTGGCAGTCTGCAGTTTGTAGGCAGCCAGGGCACAGCCAGCTGGGCTCTGATCGCAGCAGCAATGGCTCTCTGGAGGACCATCGATTTACCTACAGGCAGAAAAGTAGTGTTTCTAAATCACTGACATTTTTAAACATACAACAGGACAGTATTCTGGGACAGATTTGTTTTCTTATGCATCACTGGTCACACTAAATCACCTGCTGGCCAGACACTTACACTTTTTGTTCTCATCTGTGCTTCATACTCCACAAAGTATAAAGAACTAAAAATGTCCAAGTGTCCAAACACTTACCATCTGCATATAGATTAGTCTTATTACACAAAATGCTGATCAGACCACAACATTTAAGGGAGGATCCTGGAAATGTACTGCTAGTACGTTATTAGCAATTCTTTGTTTTTCATGTTCATATTGGATACAGTTGTCTGTTAGTTACTAAAACGTTGTAGCTGAGCAGAATTCTTTTGTCCTGTCCTGATGTCAGTCATTTATTTTAGCGTTATGTTTGTTATCCTCAATACGCCTCCCAGTTTTTAGTTTGCACTGATGATCACCTGCTCAGACCAGAAGTCAATCTTTGCCTCAAGAAACTGAGAGAAATACAGAGCAGATTGATTGCTCACCACATCTTAAGAGACTTTCTGTCCACAGCTGTCAAACTCTCACATTTTGCCTCCACAGAACATTCACTGTTTGATATACATGGGTCGTGTCAACCATGTTGGCTGACCCCAAGAAAAGCTGCTTACTTGTCCAGCTGCCATCTTTGCTTGGGAGATAAAATTCTTCTTCACGATTATGATGCGCCTTCACCCGACAACCACCATGTTCCAACAAAACACCCAGACCAATAATAGCCAAACTGGAACATTACAAGCACAAAGAACTGATTAAAAGGAAAGGAAAGGAACTGAAAGGCACAAACTTCGGACTCAATGATCAATTCCCACGTGAAATAAACGAACGACGAAAAATCCTCTACCCCATCATGAAACAACACAGGTGGAACAACAAACCTGTATATATAATTGTGGAAAAGGACAGCTCTATCACGACACCAACATTACCCCGTGGCTCTTCTGATTTTCTACAGACCAACCAGTGACTGCTACACTATATGTTAAAGCCCAGTTCATCACCCTGGTCCATTACATCCACACACAGAGCAACCCCTTTCCCACACGGACTCCTACAACCATCTCTTGCATCGGCGCCCCTATTTTTACTCTGTTTATCACACCATGTGGAAATGTATACTTGTCTATGTGTTTTTGTACTGCTATGCTCACACTCTAACACACATACATATATACACACACATGCATCAACCCTAGATGTTTATTTATTTACTGAAATAATAAAACAATATATGGAGCATTATGAACTTGGTAATAGCTGGAGAACGATTAACCCTACATCTAGAGAATACACCTACTTTTCCTCCCTTCATCGGTCTTTTTCTCGAATAGACCTCTTTCTTATCAATAATTCCCTTACCCAACATGTAACAGACACCACAATCCACTCCATTATAATTATTGATCATGCTCCAATTTACCTCACATTAAATATTGAAGCCCATACTAAACCCTCTAGAAGATGATGCTTCAATACATCATTACTCCAGGACTTAGATTTTATTACATGTGTTGAAAAAGAGTGGGAATTCTTTCTGGAGATGAACGACTCTCCAGAAATCTCACCCTCATGATGATTATGGGAAACAGGCAAAGCAGTAATTAGAGGGAAAATAATATCATACTCATCGTACAAAAAAGCAACAACTAAAACTGGGAAGCACATTAGAACAAAAGATATAACAACTCACAGATTTACATTCCCAAAACCCTAGTGAACAAACACAAAAATGAATTAAGCGAACTAAAAATGCAACTTGAAAAGATTATATATATAAAAAGCACAGTTTCTCATTCAACAACTCAAATATAAACACTTTCAGTATAATAACAAAATAGGTAATTATCTGGCAAATCAATTACAACGCAGAGGAAAAAGCATTAATTCCATCCACACTTAATCCTGGAGATGAAATTGTTTATAATCCACAAGATATTAAAAAATATTCCAAACCTTTTACAGTAAACTTTACTCCCCCAATTATTACCCAAATTCATCAGAAATAGACATTTTCTTAGATAGTTTAGAACTGCCAACACTATCCAGAGAACAAGATGACAGACTAGATGCTCCTCTCACCATCGATGAACCCCATAAAACACTGATTTCAATGTCAAATAACAAATCACCCGGACCTGATGGACTACCAGCTGAATTTTATAAACATTTTGCTGGTTTACTGTTTACTTGCCCCTTGCATGGGGATATGTACATGCACATTGAGAGCCGATGTACCAGAGTCAAATTCCTCGTGTGTCCGACACACCTGGCCAATAAAGCTGATTCTGGGTAAATGC